TGATAGAATATGATATAACATAATATAGTATAATGGAAACCTCACCATTGAATGAAACTATGCAATAAAATGCTGAATCTCAATTTGGGGATGAATATAATGCGAATCATTTGTGTTTGGGATAAATCCACTTTATATTAAGTGGAACCCATTGATAATACATTCGAAATATATACAGATATACATATATATTGACATGGAGAATGGGATTGATATGTTGTTGAATGGGATGAATATATATATATATTATATTATATTATATTATATTATATATATATATATTATATATATATATTATTTCACATTCCAACATATAATGGGAATATGTGGATAACAGGAATTGTATGAGAATAATATAGAGAATAGGATTAATATCTCCATGAAATCACATTTAAACCACCATTTTTTCAGAACTTTGGGTTTGGTGGCATTTTTTTCCGGATTACAATGTGGAGGAACCCCCGTTGAACCCCTCCTAAATCAACCAGGTAACCAGGGATTATTACCCCGAGGTTGACGCTATCACCTGAAGTGCTCCTCACCCTGTAGGAAATGTATTGATGGTCAAGGGCCAAGAGCATTTACTGGATTTTACTGCCATAAAAGTCTGCAACATGCATACAGCAGGAACCATCGAGACATAGGTGTGTTTCTCATCGATACTGCATCAGCGTTGAAATGGTCCTAAAATAAAACCTTCAGATTTGGACGCTAGAGGCACCAAACCTATACAAAATATGATCACATCACAGACAACAAAGCTATATATATATATACATATATCAGGGGCATTCTTAAATCCCACATAAGATTCGTTGGTCGCCTTCTTGGTGGATAGGTGTGGGTACCCAACCGTCGCCTGTATGGTCTGAGTCACACTTCTCACATGAGTTTGACTACAAATGAAATTTAACAACAGGCAATCTTCAAAAAATAGGCCAATAGTCTCAACAAACGCATATAGAGTATATGTAGATAAACATAGAGCTGGTATTCACAGAAGAATAAATAGATCTCATTTGATTTCTTTGGTGCCACCTGTTGGTAGCTCGGGTTGCCCCGGCCCAACAACTTCATAAAGAACTCGTGTAGAAGCCGCGCCATGGGAGCTGTAAAGATTGACCGCGCAGATCCGGCCGAGCACCGGGCTAGCATCATGCAGCAGTTGCGACAATGCTGGATGTGAGACCATCTCTGCGGTGTGATGCTGAAGAGCAGTGATGGCACAGTGCATCGCCCATACGGTGGTGCTATCCACCGCCAGCGAGTTTTTCGAGACCCTGCTGGGCGGGCCGTTTCTGGAAGCCAAGAGAGTGCAAGAAAAAAACAGTGAGCATCGCTGCTTCCAAAGAGGCAGTGACGGCATTGCTCGACTATATCTATGATGGGCAGCCCGAAGTACCAGTGCAATTTGGTCTTGAACTCCTACAACTAGCAGATGCTTGCAGTCTGCCAAAGTTACTAGGTGCGATTGAGGCAGGTATCCTTGCCTCCTTGGATAGCAGTGTTGCCCTGCAAGTTCTGCAAGAAGCGCATGGTCTGCATTCTTTAAGAACTGTGTGCGAGGATAAGGTTGCTGAAGAGTTCGAGGCTTGTAGCCAGCATCCAGATTTTGGGAAGCTTAGTGCTGGTAACCCCCAACTGTAGGATTGGGATGGTCAATCCCTTGCTGTGGAAGGTTAAAGGTGCCTTGGCTTTGTGAATGTTCTGTCAGCGATTTGTAGCTTTGGTATGCTAAAGTGCAGCTGCAGCATATAGGGCAGGGGCCCAGTTTGTGAAAGTGCTAGTGCTAGTGCACCCTCCTGCAGTGCTAGTTTTTGGGTTTAGAGTTAACCTTACTCGTACACCAAGAAAGGGATAGTCAACTGGCTCGACTTTTGAAGAGGGAAGATCTGGCCATCTCTCGCGAAGAAGCAGTGGTGAGGGCAATCTTTACTTGGATCAAGGTCTCCGAGGACAGACGTGCGTTTCTCGGCATGCTGCTGCAACACGTGCAAATTCATTCCCTTTTGGTTGACAATGTGATTTGCCTTGGCCGTACAGCTCTTTTCTCTGGCCTGAGTGGCGATGAACTTCAAAGAGAAGTTCAGGACGCCTTGGCCTCCCGAGGGAGAACCCAAAGTCCAGGCACCTTTCAGTCGAAAAGGCACTGTTTGAAACATTGGTCACCATTTTTGGGTGCCAGCACTGAATGTGCAGGACGAGAAGTGCTGCCTTTGCCCACTCGCTCTTTGTGCTGGCATCAAGATACACTGTTTGCTGCGCACACCATGGATCGCCGCATCCTTAGCTGGAAGCCTGGTGACCCTTCAACCTGCGTCCGAAGTGAAGCGGGTGAATCCAACAACTTGGGATTTGCTCCTCACCTGGCCATCTCACCAAGTGGAGAGATGTTTGTGTTAGATTGGCAGAAACAGAGGCTTTTTCATTTTCACAATGGGACTGTGCAAGTTGCCAAATCTGATGTTGGTCCGTTGTATTGCTCAGCCAACGGAGTGCTGTATATGCTGACCAAGAGTGGAAAAAGTGTAGAAAAGGTCGTGGACTCCAGGCTCGAGACAGTCGTTGCCTCCGAGAGTCTTCCAGCAGACATGCAGTTCCAAGCCTACAATCTTTTCGCTACAAAGGAAGAGGTGATCTATCTGGTGGATACAGTAATCTGAATGAAAATCGCATTATAGGCATCGATCCAGCTGATTCATTGGAACCTATTGTGGTGGGTCGAATGCGAGCGGAGGACCCGGCTTTTCTATCGAACCTGTTTGTAACTGAAGCAGGTATTATTTTTGTTTCTGATCTAGAGGAAAGGAAGGTGTTTGCCCTCCACCCAGGCAGCCCAACTTTCACAGAAGTCTGGAAGTGTCCAGGTGGATTGTACCCTCAGGGGCTGTTGGTCCATGAGAGGTCGTTGTATGTGTGGACAAGCCGGATGGCAATTCAATGGTGGGGAAGGTTTATGAAATTATGTTGCCTCCCGATGTTTTCCCCAAACATGGATGGAGAGCAAGGTGGAGATCCCGGAAGTTGAACTTGAGCTGACTGGCCAAAAAATGAAAGCCCGTTGTTTTTGCTGGTGAAGTCTCCTTTTTCAGTATAGCATATAGTAAATAGTTCATTGGATATCATCTGGTGTGTGGTTTGGAACATTTTTCCATATATTGGGAATAATCATCCCAACTGACTAATATTTTTCAGATGGGTTGAAACCACCAACCAGTCATGGTTTGCAAGTAGAAGTTGGATAGGTGACATTTGGATCCGTACGGTTTCCCACCAAAACAACTAGTAAATTTGTGTCATTCGCAAGAGGTTTTTACATGTCCAATTACATACATCATGTGGGGTTAAAGCATTGTTAAATCCCCATGCCTGTTGGTTATATTTTTTCCCTCGGCGAACATCCTGATGACTTTCTTTCAGTCTGGGGCCTGCCAACATGGACGGGTCACTGGGTGGGTGTCCACATTCCCTAGTGAATGGGGAACCAAGGAGCTACCAAGAGGTTCCCAACCATAGGATAGTTCTGTTCTTGCTCAGATGAAGACTGTTTTAAACGACTTTATCCAACAAGTGGAACACATGGGAACTGTTATGTTCAAGTGCGGTCCACCCCAAACAATTTCCTGCAAAGTCGCAGTAAATTGTTCGACCCACCTTGTTTCATGACAACGCTGAGGAGCGTTACTTGCTGCTGTTGGGTCCACAAGGTGTCGGGCCACTTGGCAATGAATGAGTCCCCTGCTGTGTTCTGATGTGTCGTGGAACTTGCACAAGAAAAGAGCAGGTGTTACGGATGTTTCCATAACAGCATGATTAGGCATGTAAGATGCAGGGAGAGGTGCCAACATACGAAAATACTTAAACATACATAGATATACATAGATATACACAGATATACATAGATATGCATAGATATACAGATATATAATTTTATATATATATATATGTACATAGATATACGTACATATACACATATATATATATACGTATATACATATATACATATATATACATATATATACACACATACATATATGTATGTACATACTTACATATATACATATATTTACATTGATTTACATTTATGTACATTTATATTTACATATTTACATGTATATTTTCCTATATATACATACATAAATACATATATAATTACATATGTTTGCATATATATATATACATATATATATACTATACATACTATACATACTATACATACATACATACATACATACATACATACATACATACATACATACATACATACATACATACATACATACTACATATATATATACATACATACATACATACATGTATCTACATATATATATAGATACATTTATATTTACACTTATTTTGGCATATATATATATATATACATGTATTTACATTCATATATTTACATATATATATATACACATATTTCCATATATGCATGTATATACAATTATATTTATTTACATATATATATATATACATGTATATATTTAAATATTTGTACGTTTAGATATGTGTATGTGTTTTTCAGTTATTTTCACATAAATACATACTGTTTCAGTTTTTCTTTGGCACAGTTCTCTAGCAGCTCAAGGGGGATGTTTCCAGGTGGTGAGAGCTGGAAACAAACGCTTCCTGCGCCGCAAATCATCCGAGGAAGAACCGAGTTGTGGACTATTTCCTCCAGTCAGTGCCTTGCTTCAAAGATCTTGGGTTTTCACCCTGCCTATCTACGGTGCTGTGGCAAGGACAATGGGAGATTCCATCACGAACCTGCAGGTCAAAGGAATTGCTATATTATGTTTTTCTGGTTGGTGGTTTGGAACAATTTTTATTTTTCCATATATTGGGAAGAATCATCCCAACTGACTTTCATATTTTTCAGAGGGGTTGAAACCACCAACCAGTTGTGTTTTTTCTCGATGTTTTTTCCCCTCATTATTTAGATAGAAAAGCATCTGGCGTCTGCGTTTTTCAGAAGCTGCTCAGCTCAGGTGCGCATGGAGCGAGAATATATGCAGTTGCACCGAGACACCACGGTTTCGCAGCTCACAGCAGGGGGCACCCAGTGGTTGATTGCAACGCGCTGGAAGGGATTAGATCAGGGGATTCCCCCCATTCAGCCACTAAAAAAATGCAAATGTTGGAGAAATTATGGGAAATATATGGGGAATACATGGCAAATATGTTCAAAAACCTCGATGTATGAATGTGTAGTGACTATAGCGTAGTTTTGTTTCACCTGGCTAGAAGAACCCACACCTCTGATAGCTGGGAATTCATCTGTCACACAGCAGATACAGAAACGCGGCAGGTGACGCCAGTGGTCTCCGATGGCTTGCTATACCATGAGGAGCTGCTGATGGGCGATAGTCACAACTGGGGGTTGATCTGCTTAAACTGTAGGTATTGTCATGAACTCACAAGAATGTCTTTCTATTGATATATAGCAACCCCATACAACCTCCAAAAAATGCAGAAGAGATTTAAAAACGACTAAAAGAGTCGTATAGAAATTAATGTTCTATCTATTTCGGGGCTATAGATATGTTTATATGCACATTATAGCTATATATATATATGTAATGTAATGTAATCTAATGTAAGGTAATGTAATGTAATGTAATGCAATGCAAGCCAATGCAATGCAATGAATGTAATGTAATGTAATGTAATGTAATGTAATGTATGCAACAATTGCCAGTATTAGAATAACCATGAATGCAAGCAGATATAAATACAATGAGATACAATCAGGTGCAATCAGAGATGATACACCATGACATACGTTTCCATATTTACAAATATGTATAGTCATCCTGGAGTGGATAGAATATGGAAGCGTCAAACAAAAAACGTAACAAAATGAGAATATTTTTGAAAATCCCATAGTCTATCTACCCCAGGACGATTATTTACACCTAATATATATTTATATAGGCGCAACGCCTGGGCTTTGCCCCAGCGTTAGCGTAGAGGGTTCCCATTCCCAATCAAATGTTGTTGCAACTTTACATTCAATCGGGAAGATCAACAAAGGTATTAGGGAATATTAGAATCCGACCCTCGTCAAACTCTAGATTCCATTGGGAAGATCAACTTAGGGAATATTAAATTCCCACCCCCGTTAAACTTTACATTCAATTGAGAAGATCAACAAAGGTATTAGGGAATAGTAAAATCCCACCCCCGTTAAACTTTACATTCAATTAGGAAGATCAACAAAGGTGTTGGGGAATATTAAAATCCCGCACCTGTTAAACTCTACATTCAATTGGGAAGATCTACACAGGTATTAGGGAATATTAAAATCCCACCCCCGTGAGACTTTACATTCAATTGGGAAGATCAAAGGTATTAGGGAATGTTAAAATCTACACTCAATTGATGATGGTGATGATGATGGTGATGGTGATGATGATGATGATGATGATGCGTTGCCCGCCGTCGTTGCGGTTCAGGGCAAAGCCCAGGCATTTGCGGTGTATATATATATACATGTACCTTGTGCATGTTTAATATAGCTATGGAAAATGTCCCATTTATGATTGGTTTACCTATATTCACCTTTCAAAATGGTGATTGTCCATGGCTACGTTAAAGTACCAGATAATAGGCACACCATAACATCAATATCACCAGATACAAGCAAATATGCTCATGACGCACAACCACAACCATATATGGTATGGTCGATAGTGTATATACCATAAATATACTATATAATTTTAAAAGAGAGCAGTACTGTATGTTCATTGTTTACCTAAATATTGACATACTTATTGTTATATTTACAGCACGCACAACATTATTATACCATAACAATCCATAACATATGAATAACCATGATAGCATATACCATTCTGATACCATTATCCATATCAGTAATGAAGTTTCCATATCAATAATGCACATGACGATAAAAGTCGTGTGTATATATATATATATATGGAATGTGTGGTTATAGACTATAACTATAACATATTGATTTTATAGCTATATGATATCAATCCATACCGTAAATTTTACATCAATATCACCAGATACATCCAGGACTCACCCTTGGTGCGTGCTGCGCAGCTGGGTCGCGCACTGGTTCTGGACGAGGCCGATAAAGCGCCTTTGGAGGCATCGTTGCGGGGGTTTTCCGGGTTGGAAAATCGTGATTTTGGCATCGAAAATATGGATTTTACCAGTAAAAATGGAGGATTGACCATGAAAAATCGGGATTTGACCATGAAAAATGAAAGTTGGGAACGGTGAAGACCATAAATCTGTGGTCAGATTGGGAAGACCACAAAGAATGAAGGACTAACCATGAAAAATTGCATGAATAGGTCTTTCCAACCACTTTTAACCATCAAAAATGTGGTTAGTATGATTGTTGGGAAGAATCTACAGGAAACTCTTTGGTCCCATGAAATCTGGGGCGTCCGTTTTTTAGAAGCCTACCATTTGGGCATGGTTACCACCCATAGAAATAGTGAGGGTTATTCTATGGTAGTGTATAGTGAATAAAATAGCCCAAAATAGTGATTTTGGGATTTTTTAATAACTGTTACCGCATTGCAATGAAAAATGAATAATGGGTACCATATGAAATTGCCCACTTAGGTTAGTTTACAACATCCAGAGGTAGACTGGGTTGGAAACCACCAACTGAGATGCACGACTAAGTATAGCCGATGAATAATGGATGCATGTAGTTTTTGCCATTCAAATTTGGAATTTACCATCTGGTTATTTAACATAGCCATGGAAAATCACCATTTTTAATAGGTAAACCATCTATAAATGGGCCATTTCCCATGGCTATGTTAGTCACAACCAGAGGGTAACTAAGCGTAAGCAGTGAAAGATCGGGATTTGAAAAACCTTGGAGTAGTACTTTGATTAGTACGGATGGATCTGTTGCATTGTTTACCATAGTTTACCATACATGGTAATAGCTGGCAACCTAACCAGCTAACCTTTTTTTTCCCATCATATCTAAGTCTAAGATTGGCCTTGATATGCTCTGATAATGAATATATAACTAATAAACAGCCAGATATAAGAAGGTGATATGGGTATGGTTCAAATGTTGGACCACCCACACGTGTGAGACAAATTCTGGGTTTGTCTTAAGATCGATGGTCTCCATCTTTGTTGTTTTCTGTATCTCCCACAATGACCCAACATTTCAAGCCATGAATTTTGATTCTTTTGCCATGGAGTCAGATCCTACAAATAATCAATTGTGCGGAAAAGTTGTGGATTTGTTTCATTTTGTTCGAAGAAAAAATCATTGCATCTCCTGGTTGACTGAGTTGACATGTTCTACACTTTTTTTTGTCTGAAATTACGGTACCCAAAAAAAAAAAATATGGTTTTTTCATGGTTTCAATGGGAATTCCAGGATCCTAAAATGGAGGTACTGTACCATATAAGGCCATATTTTAGGGGGATATCCCCTTACATAGCCCTTATATAGGATCCTGAAATTCCCATTGATGGTTTATCATCATTTTCCCCATGAGAACGGCCATGCAACAGGGCCCCCATGTTTTGACAAAGCCGTGTGGAGCGAGCTGAGCCTGGTGGCACAAATAGAGCGAGAGGTTCTCGCCGTTCTAGACAGATTTTTGTTGGGTTTATATAAACAGGTTTAAAGATACTGGGACACGATCTAATGTAGATCATAATTACTGCAACATTGGTATATATCATGTAATTATAGGTATGAATCATCCTTTTCAGCTGTTCTCAATCCATCACATGTGTGAGTATTTCAAGGCATGACACCAAGGGCAGGCGGCAGAGTCTTGCCCGTGTCCGACCGAGCATGCCAACAGTGAACTAGCCGTGTGCTTCTATAGCCTTTGCCACCCAAGAAGATGTCTGGTGCTGGCAAGAAGGGGAAGCATCTCAGATTGGGCATTGTGGGATGAAAAAACATCCTGTTTGGCAGATTGACTCTGTTGCTGAAAATGAAAGTCTCACAGGTGCTTTGCTTCACTAAAGGGATGATGATCCCAATGTCATATATTGGGCCTAAGTAACTTAACCACCAGGCTACCCAACCATGACACCATGCCCATCAGGTGGTTGTGGTACTGAAATCTCTCATTGAAGACGGCCAGTTGGCATTGCCTGATGGACGCAGGCCGCCTATTTCGGGGGTGTTTATCAGTTAATCACCAAATAAAACGAATGAGGAGCTTAGTTTGGATAGTTTGGGGACGGCTTGAATGATCAACATTTCTTGATATGGCTGCTTCGTCATTTGGGTGCCCCAAAACCCATGTGTTTCGCTATTCAAGATGACCAATACATAGGACAATTTTCGGGTTCTCCATTATAAGAAATTCAAATCTGCTTCTCCCTGGAGATTTCTTGCCATGCTTCTGTTAGGAACCTTATGGCACACACAAATCAACACATGTGCCGTATCCAGACGGCAGCAAAAGATGTAGGCTAAGCCATTGTTCAATTTGGTTTGAAACAACTACCCTCTGGTAAACACAAATAGCTATTGAAAATGGCCATTTATAGTGGATTTTCCCATTAAAAATGGTAATTTTCCATAGTTATGTTAGTTTACCAGAGGGTATGTGAGGATGGATCAATCCTTTGCTACATCTATCTACCAGCAATGTTGAACCGAGGACTTCTTAGGTGGCTAGACTGCTAGACTGGAGACGTATCACTTGGGGGCATCCCATGTTGTTTCACCGATATCAGTGCAAGTGATGCAACAAGTTATAGTAACATTAGTAACCCTCCAAAAAGATAGACAAGTGATGAAAAGTGAGTTGCAACCGATTTTGGTCGGACTTTACAATATGTTGCAATACTTTTTGGCTATTTTTGGTGCTTCCTATGGCACCGTTGGCAGGTTGGCCAGCAGTATCGAGGCAGGAAGCGAGAGAACCATCCAAGTTCATCCCGAGTTTCGCATGCAGCTCGGGCATGCTCGGGCGCAGGGCCAGAGAAAGAAAATGGGGATTTGACCACTGAAAAACGATGAAAAAATGGTGATTTAACATATTCTAAACCATGAAAATGGTGATTTAACATATTGAACCATGAAAAAAAAATGGATTTGACCCACTAAGGCAGAACACTGAGCCATTAAGGACTCCTTTGTTGATTCTTTATTGTAAGGCGTTATGCTACGTGGTTATTTGAAATTATGCAAACCCATATTACGGAAACCTATCAACCGACTAGTATAATGAGATGGGATAGATGCATTTATACATCTATATTATAAATTATATTATATATATATATATGTGTTATGGCTCAACTGGTGCTTTCAAATATGTCTGAAGTAAGTCTTTTTTGATCCGTTGGGGATGATCATGCCGTTGATTCTCTCGCCTTCGCAAGGGATGGAAGTGGATCATCCCAGCCTCTGGTAATCTGCCCTGGTGATAAATCTCCCTGAAAATATTCATGATTTTTCTGCGGAATCCCCCAAAAAAAGGAGATAGATCATCGAAACTCCCATATTACAATAGGAAAATCATCAAAGAAGTCCCTGTCTGGTAGGTGGTTTGGAACATGAATTGTATTTTTCCATTCAGTTGGGAGTTCCATGATCCCAACTGACTTTCACTCCATCATTTTTCAGAGGGGTAGGGCTCAACCACCAACCAGAATATTATTAACCATCATTAACCATACAAAAACCATATTAACCAGCTGTTATACTCCTATTCTTAGATGACTTTCCCAGCAAGAACTCCATCTGCGGCGATGGATTTGCCAAATTTGCCCAGGTTTGTGCTGGCGAACCGTCCGGGATTTCCCTTCCTGGGCAACGATTTGCTCCGGGAAGCCGACGCTTGGAATGAATGAATCATCCCCAGATACCCTCTGGTAAACATACAAAAAGCTATTGAAAATGGTCATTTATAGTGAGTTTTCCCATTGAAAATGGTGATTTCCCATAGCTATGTTAAATTACCAGAGGGTATCCAAAGTGATCAGCTGTTTTCGGTCCCCAAATGGTCCCGGGTGAGTGGAGAATGGTGCGTAAAAAAACCGCCAAATAGGATTAGAATAGATGGGATTAGATGAATTACAATAATCCATGGTGAGTAGATTACATTACTTTTTTTCCACCTAATCTAGTCCCATGGCATGGGATGAATAGATAGGTTTAGATAGGCTTAGACTTATGAGACTAGATGGGACTAGATGGGAGAAAAGATAGATGTGGCGCATGGGATCCGGATGAATTATGACAAGCTCACTGGCCAAGGTCAAATGAAAATGACAGTTAGGATTGGAATAATCTCAAGATTGATGATTGTTTACAGAATTAGAATGATTTGCCCAGATGGATGGGATGGATAGATGGGTAGAAGGGTAGAAAGGTAGACATAGTGCTTGGGGGTTTCCACTATGTCTTACTTTCCATCTTCAAAAAATTGGTGCCTCGTGACCTCGTGTAGATTAACCACCAAACCAGGGAGGCTTGGGAAGATCCATTGGTTTCGTCTACCGCTTAGTTCAGACCTGGAGGATCGCTTCAGACTATCCAGACATGACTTAGCTGACATACCAAGCACAGTTGACCTGTGAAATGTAGAACATGGAAACTCAGTTTTGCACATCATTTCATTTTACAGGGCCCATTGATCTGGTTATGGCTCGAACATATTGACCCAAAATAGATGATTCTAGCAGCTGGGGCACCTACAAGAAGGTCAGATTTCGCTGCGAAAGTCATGTCGGTTTCAAGGATGGCTACTCTATAGTAATTGGATATCTGATTGGTGGTTTGGAACATTGTTTATTTTTCCATAATATATGGGATGTCATCCTTCCCATTGACGAACTCCATCATTTTTCAAAATGGTTGTTGCACCACCAAGCGTTCATATCTCAACATCGTCCGGTCTCGTTTTTTGTGGTTTCACCCTGGGGGGTCCACAGCCCGAACGGTCGTTCTCCATGTTGCTGCGATGTTAAGAATGGCTGCAGATTCCATGTTTGAGACAAAGAATGAGCATACAGTAGATTTCAGAACCTCAGTTGTACAATGTACATAGCTATGGCAGCTATGGGAAATCACCATTTTTAGTAGCTAGATCATCGAACTGAATGTATAAATGGACCATTTTCCATTGCAAAAATTGTTAAATTAACAGATGCTACTGCAAGCCACTTGCCGGGGATCATCCCTCTAGCCAAGGACGTGTTCTCCGTCTTTTGCTTGGACAATCCAGCATCTTGTCGTTCAACACGTGGAGAACGTTACTGGTGTCGAGTGGTCCACTGTCATCTAAAGATTCCAAAAGCGGCATCTCTGATAGATCATCATTCGCGACCCAGAAGCGGAAAAATCAGTATTTCCCAGATCGTCGCAAATCTTGATTTCTTGTAGGAGAGTATGATTTCGCACGTTTTGTCTGTCGAAGATGCCACGATCATCCCCTAAATCTAGTGTTTTGACAGCGCCTTTGTTCCCTGCAAGAAAGCCATGACCACAAGACTAGTTGGCTGCTTATTCCCCTGGGATCCATGGGCAACATGACCCCAACATGAGGTTCAACATCCCAGGGGCCTGTCCAACTTCCTATCACACTTGAGGATGCACAATCAGAACTTCAACTGGCGCGGGCCATCGGTTTCTTGGCATCGGGGGGATCTGCCAATGGATGATTCATCCCTTTGGTACGAGAAGCCTTCGAGGTCCAATTGAAAATATCAGAGTGTAAGAAAAGATCTCCGAAAATCGGACTTTGGCACCTGCTTCTGTCATCGACATGTTTGTTAGCTACTGTGGAGGCAGCTATGATTATATTTTTTTACCATCTACGAATCATCTACAAGTTGATGATCCCAAAGTTCACTATTTTTTGTTTGTATAGATGGGAATGGCTCAAAATTGCCGGGGTTCCATGTCTTTTTTTTTGGCTTGGGTCACCCCTCATCAATTAAGATGATTCACCCGTGTTGCTTCATCCAGGTCATTTAAGACCTGACCCATTTTGCGGGTTAGCCTGGTCAGCCCCATGTTTGAAATCTGTGTTGTCTACGAAGGTCTCTCTCTCCAGACACTAAGTGTTTGTTGGCTGTGTCAGAATATCATTTTTTGTTGGTCCCATTCCTATTGTTTCTAGAGTTTGATACGCACTACCACAACGCAACCTGATGCAACCTTCGTTGAATAGTTGTATGGTTTATTGATCAATCATGTTTTTAGGAATATGTGGATATAGCACACAGATATATAATGTTATTTATATATATACTGTAAATAAACATACACCAGATGGCTACTTTGTCCCAAAAAAAAGGAACGTTTGGATTTACCCAACTCCATGGATTTTTCAGCATGGTTAATCATCAAAAAACAACTATTTCAACTAAAAAATGAATCTGCCAAGAAAAAATATTCAATGGACATATTAAAAAAAACACTTATATAAATCAGATGATTTATCAATGAATCATCCTATATGTTCAATTAAAAAATGACCATCACTGTCTTCCCCTCCGTTGCAGAAAACCTGCCATGCCATCAGGTCCCAGCGTCCCCGAGGGCATCCTACGCACCCTGGTGGCGCTCTTCGCAGATTTGCGCCTGGCACTGGAGGATGGGCGGCTGCAGCAGCTCGGCAAAAGGCTAGGTACTGGTTGTGAATATTCGTAGATATATAGATTGTATACAGATTATATATATATATATATATATTTGTATATGATTGTATATGTTCGTATATTATTGTATATGATTCTATGATGATATATGATTGTATATGATTGTATATGATTATATATATTTATATCTGATTGTATATTTTTATTTATGATTATATTTGATTAATTATGGTTAATTATGATTAATTATGATTGTATATGATTGTATATGATTGTATATGATTGTATATGATTATATATGATTATATCTGATTGTATATGATTATATACGATTGTATATGATTGTATGTGTTTATATATGGTTGTATATGATTAATTATGATTGTATATTATTGTATATGATTATAATGATTCTTTATGATTGTATATGATTAATTATAAATGAGTATATATAATATATGGTGATATGTGATGGTATCCGCCGATATATGGAATTACCCTGCGGCAATCAAACGTGGTAAAGGAAAATCGGACATTTAAAGATGATGTTCAACCTCAAAGCTCCATTTATAGTGGATTACCAATGATTAGGGTATATATGATGATATGGTTTCGCGATGGTTTCGGCCAACCCTGCCGGCAGTGATTATGCATATGTATCTGTATATATAAGTACATATATAAGTATATATATATGCTAGCCCCCCCAAAAAAAAGCCTTTTTCTATCTTGTAGCCAGTAACTTTCATTTGAAACATGCTGCATTCCTTCAAAAAAACTAAAAGATTGTTGTTAAAGGAAATGCTGCTTACAGGTTACAATCTGCCTTGAAGACAAGATATTCCCTAAATAAAAAAACAGTATCCTTGCAAGAAAACTACAAGGTGTGGAAAGATGCAATACATCCTTTAATAATGAAGCTCATCCTTCCTCTCATTTGTCTTGTATGACCTTTTTTTGGAAAGATTCAACTTCTTCAAACTAATTGCCGTGAAGACAAGGTATTCCCTTAAGTAAGAAGCAGCATTCTTGCAGAAAAATACAAGATGTGGAAAGATGCAATACATCTTGTAATAAAGCTCAGCCTTCCTCGCATTTTTCCGTATGACATGTACCGATTTTAAGGAAAGACTTGACATATGGAAGGGCATATTGCACACATACAATCATGACCTGTTTCTCTCAAAAAATACTACATACACCCAAGGGTTCTACTTCATAGTATTGTGTTTCTTTGTATGCAATTGTTTTTCAATCAAGTGGTTCACTCCCTTGTGAAGGAAGCTTTGCTTCTCTCGGAAAGAGTCCCTACCCCCCCCCCACCCTCTTGCTTCTCTCGGAAAGAGTCCCTACCCCCCTTGAAACAGAAGTGACTTGAACCCATAACAAAAATAATTTGCATTTAATCATTGAGAAGATGAATTTGTAAATTAGAAGATGAGTTTGCAAACTAGAAGGTGGGTTTGCAGACTAGAAGGTGAGTTTGCAAACTAGAGGGTGAGTTTGCAAACTGTTTTTTTGTGCATTGCATTCTATTTGCAGACATAAAGTTGTGCATTGCATTCTATTTTGCGCATTGCATTCTATGTTGCTTTGTGCATTGCATTCTATTTGCATTTTATTTTTGTACAAGCGTCACATACGATATATGACTTGAAGTTATGCTAAAACAAAAATGTTTAAAAAAAGGTACGTCCGAAATCATCCCCTAGCCGATGATATATATATATATATAATTATATATACACATAGAAATTGTGTATTCATGTACCCAGGTAAATAAGGTTATTCTCCTCTTGTATTATGCACAAATATAAGATTGAAGAAAAGGGGTCCCAAAGATGGTGTTCCGATATATTTAACCGGTGGATATGGCCGTGTTTTGGGTTTCATGTTGAATGTCAGGGCAGTAACCTTTGCTAATCAAACATGGCTGGCTGGGAATTCTACTGAAGTGACTGTTTCATGATGGTTCTCTTGGCATTCACTGGCATGTTCATGCAATAGAATGGGTGAACCCGTGAACCTTTACGAAAAATGGCGATTGTCAGGTTTTTTTCCACCTCCCCAAGGGCGGTTGTTTCCTCACTGATGGGCATATCCGATATCGGCCCGGTAGACTTAAGACCAGGCAGCAATTGAACCAGCAGCAACAAGGGGGGATCATACAACAGAAAGAGGCCCCGACGACTTTTCATGACTTTTCAGAGTGACAACGGGGAGTTGACCGACAAGAATTGCATGCCAAGCCCACACCTCTTTTTCAAGGCTGTTTCCTCAAGACAGGGCCATCACAATGTCATCTAAGGTACCCCTACAGCGCGCGAGAATTGCTGGCAGTCATCCGACACCTGGAGCGCTTCCCAAACGAACCTTTGGAGGAGGTTCAGCATGGGTCATCGGGTACGCCATGGAGCAGCGGCTGATCTACCCAGGTCATCAATTGGTGGATTCAACATGGACCATGAGACCATAGGAGGTATCCACCCTTTGTCTGAAAACCAGATTTTCTTGGGTCTTTGGCGGTCCAATCATCACCATTGGTACTTTCTCCGGTTTTCGTCACTGCAATCTGCATATCTATCCCTTAGATCCTTCGTTTGGTCTGTTGACAGCCACTTCATTTGTCGTTTTTGTGCAGCTGCAAACCAATGCCCACTTTGTGGCAGAATACCAGATGAATGTCCTGCCTGGGTATGCCAAAACAAGTCAGAATATGTTCTATAGTTGTCCTCATGTTTGTTCATAAATCCCACTTTGTTTGTTTGAAACTCCATGGGTTGTTGCTTAGATCATGTTGAATTTTGTGAACCAAGACCTGACCTTTTTTCCCGGCATGTTTGGTAAATTGATCTGACCCCAAGGGAAACTATTGATATTGAACCCAAAAATATAAGCAAATTATATCAAATGTTCCATGTGTTGGGTTATGGAATCCCCAAGTTCCGTTCTATCTCTACTGGTTGTGTTAAATCTCCAATTTTCACCAATTTTCCTGATAAGACGTTCCTTCCTGATAAGACGTTCCATTCGTCCAATAGTTTTTGATTAAAATAGTCTTCAATTTTCCTGACTAAATCTTCCTTTCGCATCCTTTTGTCCACTAGTTGTACTTTTCCTGATTGAAATCAGACGTATTGCCTATTGCTCTTTGCGTCAAAATGGATGTATCCAAAAAAAAATCTGCGAAAATTCCAGATTTTGCCCCCCTCCCATCATCTCCCATCTATTCCCATCTTCGATGCCTTGAAGGTCCCCACCTTGGTGCAGCTTCCATGGCAGGCCCTGACGTCGGTCTTGGCCTTCGATCGCTTCGACGCCTCGCTGCGGGAGGCCCTGCGGCCGCTGCTGGAGCGACGGGGCGTCTCCAGTCTGGCGGTGCTAGGCGCTGTCAGTGACAGATGGTGACAGTGGGGAGAGCCAGTGCCGGAAAAGGGGGAAAATATGGGAAAACCATAGGAAAACCATAGGAAAATGGAGGTTTACCCTCTGGTAAACTAACATAACTATGGAAAATCACCATTGAAATAGTGGATTTTCCCATTAATAGCATGGTGATTTTCCATAGCTATGTTAAATTACCAGAGGGTATATCGATTTGATCGGAATCTGTGGTCTTTGGATCTCAGCTTGATGGATAGATCAAAGCAGAAAGACCAACGGATACTGCAAGCTATGACTTCCATGGCAGGCCCTGCGAGCGGAAACGCAAGTGACTCAGCTGTATGGAGATGAGCCGCTAGGTGATGGCATCAACGGAACCAGTGAAAATATCCTTGTTGATTGGTTATTGTAAAGAGTTCTATATACTACCTGGTTATTGGAAATTATAACCTAGCCCATATGAATGTAAACCCACCAGCCAACTAGTATAATCCGTATTCTCAATGGCTCAATGGGCTTTCAGCATGGTGATGGTGATGATGGTGAGTAAGAGGAGTATGACGAGAGTGGATGAGAGCAATTGTGTCAAGGTGATCACAGATTGAAACTCTTGCACAAAGAGTCTAGGTTGCCAAAGCCCCTTATCTTGGAGTATCATAGTCATATGGGGGGTTCCTAAAATCTGGGTACTCCTAAATCATCCATTTTAACAAGATTTTCTATTGTAAACCAACCATAAATGGGGATCCCCCATTTATGGAAACCCCGATATAGGTTTGTGGACAGTGAACTACATTTTTCAATGTTGCTACCCAACACCTTCCCTTGGCGGATGTAGATCATGTTGGAAGAATTTGGGAGTCTAGATGATCCAGGCGTTAGAATCCAAATTCATCCAAATCCAAATTCAACATCCCAACTGAACATGACAATCATGATATCTCCAAAACTTTTTTCCCAGTCTCAGAAAGCCACAATTTCTAAGAGGCGTCGGCCCCACCTTGGGCGAGCCGTGGGTCCGTGCTCTGGAAGCCCTGCGCCGTGCCAAAGTGGCGCCGGCGCGGCGCTTGCGCAAGGACGCCACGGGGATCCATGGGGCGTTCGAGCGGTTTCAAGCTGAGAAAGTCAGCAAACATCATCAAACTAAATGGTGGATTTTCAGTTGCCACATGTGATTACCGGGGGGTAGCCTCAGGAGATAGGAGCAATCTGATTGGTTTTCCATACTGAGATTAACGTGTTAGATGATCTGAAGAAAGATGGCGATCACTTGACCAAGAAGAGAGAAAAGTAAATCGCCATCTGTAGAACACCACCAGGTCCCCAGGTCCCCTCAGGGTCAAAAAGGTGATACAGGCGGCTAGTACAGCACATGCCGGCTGCCATGTCTCGCTCAATGGGTTGCTTGAGTTTAAGTTGCCTGGGGCTTGGATTACTTCGATACCAAGCGGATGGGGGCAGTACCCAAATTCAAACACAGACCACCTCTCCCTGTTGGCAACGCGCATAGGCAGAACCAAGTCAAGATTCAGGCAGCTTTTCAACACCGGCCCAGCAGAAAAAATCTATGGACTTGAAGTCCCCATTTTGTTATTTGAACGATTTGAATATCGCCAAATCCCAATTTCTGTTGGTTAACTCACTCTGTACTTGTCCACATTTTTTTTGGATCACTGGTCACAGCTGTGACAGACGTGGTCCAGGAGCCTGCTGGTGCATGGCAGGTGCTGAAAGCGCTGGAGTTTCATCCTGTGACTTGGAGATCAGCGTCCAAAAAACGAAGTCTTAAGGATGGCCCTGCCGACCCTGCCGAAACTGTTTCATGTGGCTATGAGTCAAAACCCATAAACCCATAAAATAGTTGGTTTAGTTGGTTTAGTTGGTTTATGGATGTTTATTCCCCCAAAGATGGTGATATATAATAGTTTTTTAAACCCATTCCGAGTGGCAATTTGTTTGGGATGATGGAATTTTTGAGTAGACCATGGTGGATCGTTCCCTTTTTCAACAGCCATGTTACCCTCTGGTAAACTATGTATATATAACATAGCTATGGAAAATGACAATTTTTAATGGGAAAATTCACTATTTCAATGGTGATTTTCCATAGTTATGTTAGTTTACCAGAGGGTAAGCATCTCAGCAAGAAGTTAAATTCAAGGATAAATCATGCTGACAAATCCTAGTTTTTTTGGCCAGCCTGGCTTCATGTTTTTTTGGGTTAAGCATGGTTTAGCAATCCCAAGTGGGTGTTTTGCTTATTTTCCACACACTATCTTCAACAGGCACGCACTAAGGTTTGTGAAGAATCAACCCCTGATTGACTCGAGTTGGGGCTTCCAAAGTTGGGAACGGAAAGTCCAGATGTTTAATGGTAAAATCATCATGGATCGAAATGGAAGATTTACCATATCATTGCATATTACACGTAATTAATGGCAGTTCTAGTCTGCTTGGTGGTTTCATTTCGCGGATGATCTGAAAAAATCGGTGGGAATTTTTGGGATGATGAATCCCAAGTGGCAAAAACATGTTTCGGGTCTGTGAAAACACTGCGCAACGTCAATTCCATCCGGTCCCTGCGTTCAGTTCCCTCGCGCAGTGAGACTTTTCACTACTGTGGATACTAAGAAATCCAAAATGCCTTGCTGAATGTGATGACCCTCCTGTAAACTAACATGGCTATAGAAATTCCATGAAATTCCCTAGGCAATGGTCTGAAAGTGATGGATTTTCCATAGCTGTGTTTGTTTACTCGAGGGTTTGACCACTTCTGGTATTGCGTTTACCACATTCCTTAATGGGTCTGATGTCTTTCAATCTGTCATTTCACCAGCACCATCCAGCACCCAGCACCATCCAGCGCTCCAAGGCGGTGTTTGGTTCGGAAGGTCCCGAATATCATCGGGTTCAGCCGCTCAACTTCTTCAGAATGTTTGGTGGTGTGAGTTGAACCGTGTTTAGATGTAGCTGTCGTTTGTAGGTAAGTCCATGGTAAATCCACGTTAGTAGCCTACTGAACATCAAGAAATTGATGATGAGAAGATGTTTGAATGTTCACTACTCAATTCCGTACTCTTGCACGAAATGATGGAGATGCTTGCGATACATCTCCACCATCCAAGAACCCACCACTAATCAAACGTGGCAATGGAAAATCCACCATATATAGATATCACCTGGTTGGTGGTCTGGAACATGTTTTTTCCATTCAGTTGGGAATAGTAACCCCGACTCACTCATATTTTGTCAGAGGGGTAGGTCAACCACCAACCAGGTATGTTATATCTATATATAATCCCATCATATAACATCATATAACCATATATAATCACTATTATTGCTAGTATAATCACTATTTTATATAAGCCCAATCAGATATCGATGGTTTTTCGCTACCAGCCGCCAACCATAAACCCGGTCCATGTTCTGTCGAGGCAAAGACCCGCCATGTTGGATCCACCCAAAGTGGTGCCACTGGCAGATCTCTTCTTTGAACGAAGCTCGGACAGCTCGGACAGCTCGGAGGTGGGAAAAGTCGAGATGTTATGAGATGCTATATATATATATATGTATATTTGTTATTATTATATAGATAGATAGATAGATAGATAGATTATAATATATAGATATATAGATATAATATATATATACATTATTATGTATATATAGATATATTATTATAACATATAAATATATAATAATAATATATATATATATTATAAATAGATAGATATATTATTAATATATATATACGTATTATTATATTATATATATATATATGAATATGTAGATATATTATTATATATATAGATATATATATATATAGATAGATATATTATAATATATATATATAGATATATTATAATATATTTAGATATATTATAATATATATAAGGCCCCAAATGGTCATTGATATTGAAGCAGCGTGTAGGGGGCGATGCTTGAAGTCCGCAATGAGGAAAGAGTCAGAGGTGGTCGCCTCAAAATCAGATAGAATCGATGTTGAAGCGCGAACTTCTTTGTTCACCCCATTTCACCCGCTTCCACCCCATTCCACCCCATTCTACCCCATTCTCTACTCCTCGCCCCACATCAGCTTCAAGCAATCAAAATCGGTTAGTTCACGACACCAGGTAGGTTGAGTTTATGTTGACTTCATCGAATCATTCCACATGTTCATGGTGCGATCAAGGTGTTTCTTCGATTGAACTGAACCACATGTTTTTCTGGTGAAACCACAATTGTCCCTCATTAAACCACCATTTCTTCTAAGTAACTTCCGATTTCCGGTGGTGAAACCCTTATTTTGGTTGGTTAAATCACCATGTTCATGGCTGACATCTCAATTGTCGTTAGTTAGAGTTGTTTGCTGATGAAAGACACCATGTTTGTTTGCTGAATCCCAAGTGTTGCTAGCTAAATCGCTATGATATTCCACATCATCATCATCATCATCATCATCATCATCATCATCATCATCTTCTACTTCATCTTTTCTGGGATTTTGCTGCTCAAAATCGCAATTTCTGATGTTTGCATCAATATAAATCAACATCAGAAATGGTTGATTCAAACCCTCCCATCAAAATTTTGCTGGTCAAACCTTGGATTTTGTTTCTTCAACCCTCCCATCCCCAGGCGTCCCCAGGTCCCACCGGCGCTGAGGCAGCAGCCTGTCCTTCGATGAGGGCATGGTCCGTGCAGAGCTGCCCCTGTCGAGGCGCTCCGACGGCGTGGTGGACGCGGTGGTGGGGAACGGCGCGCTGCACGTGTTGTCCACAGGTGGGGGTTGGGGGTGGAGGGAGGGGATCAAAATGATCAACTTCTGAAAATGGATGGTTTATAATTATAATGGTGTCATATGGTTTGATAGTGATGTTTAGTGATATCAAAACAGCGATAGTATTCACACATATTTAGTAAAATGAAGTAAAATGTAGAAAGAAGAAGAAGAAGAAGAGACGAAAAAGGAGAAGAAGAAGAAGAAGAGACGAAAAAGGAGAAGAAGAAGAATGGCATTTTGCCATCGAAGCCACCGCCTATGAGTAATTATTGTTGATGTTTTCTCAATCCGTGGGGGATTCGGATGCCACTTTTTGAACAGTCTTTTTTTGGGGAGACAGTGCCCACTTCAGTGATACCCATACCCATCACCAGCGTACCAGGGCTCAATACCAACATGACCCGCAAGCGCCATGAAATTCGCTCGCGGAGGACCTTTGTGCATTTGGACCATTGACGACCCCCAAGCCTTGGGTGCTGATGCTGGCAGATGTTCTCTGCTGCAGGTGCCGGGTGGTGTTCTTGTTCATGGCTGGGATAGCCAAAGGGATGCGGAAGTTCACTGCAAATACCATTTAAAATGCGTATGCATGTTTATCCTTGTTTTGAGCCGTGAAATTCCGAAGGGGAACAGACGTGACCAAAAAAATTGACAACTAGTGGATTGTCTTATTGAACTAGCCTGCTATGAGGTCCCCTTCTTGCCCGTGTTTGAGCCGCATTTCCACAGCAATTGGCAGCTGTCAACCAACGTGGATACAAGACTGAACTGCCACAGTCATGCCCAAAGTAGACTGTGGACACAAATATGTATGTGTACATGTGAATGTACACATACCATCTATTTGCAAAAATGCCCAAAAAATGCTAGAGTCCTGCCATCCCCAAAATTATCATTTGTCCAAGTATTCACATGTGCGTTGCTTATGGATCTTTGTAATCAAGTATTCTTGAGCATGGTTGGGACTGCCTTGTGAGATGTGAAATCAGCTGGAACCACTTGGTTGTATAGTCTCGTTCTTGTCGGATGTGGTTCTATGCTTTTGCTCTGTGGTGTACTCCTGGTTGCATCCCCATCTTTGGGTACGCTGCCTCCCAAGTCGTGATGATGGTGTGTGTGAATTGTTGGTGATATTTGTTAAGTATTGTTAAGTTATATCCCAAAAAAAGTGCCTTTTGCAGGTTGTATCATTGTATCATGTTGTATCCATGTGTTGAATTTGAGAGTATCAAAGTATCCTATTGTTGCTGTATCTACTACTGATCCCGTTTGATCCCTCACTGCTTTGCAAAACCACACTCTTAGTGCGGATTCGGGTACGCTGGACACATGAGACTCAATGGTTAGATTTTAAACTATGCCAGGATTTGGGTTTGTCTGAAAATATAGTACCCCAAAATTGTCCCTGTGAGATTGCCATATCTTAGCTATTTCTGGACAGACCCATTTCCATCATTTCCATCATTCATTGGTTACATCCGTGTTATTGCTGTTTCAATTCCCTTATTTGGTGGTTAGAGTCCCTATGTTTGGACAAAAGAAAACATCATATCAAGTTGGCTATATAGTTATATCGCATCAAATATTCCCATATGATAGTCCCATGTTATACCATTCTACCACCACCACCACCACCACCATAGTCAGGTGGGCCCGGGTGCAGATTGGTCTTTGGCCATGGCGTCGCGAGAGACGAGCAAGGCAGGACAGAGGGAAGTGCCCAGGGGTTCTCCATGGAAGGGGCGCTAGGGAACGATGGGTTTTAAGTTTTAAGGGGGATTTCACCAACAGAAATGGGAAGGGGGTATGGCATTTTAGGGTGATTTTAGCTGGGATATGGTGGGATAAATCATGATAATTCAACCAGTGGATCTATAGGGAAGAATTCATTTTTGGGGATGGGACCCCTTGAAGCAAATGCAAGAAATCGAGGTACAATGACATTTTACGGGGATTTTACATAGTTGGATATAACATGATATAACTGGATCAGATATTTTTAAAAAAAAGAAATGATATTTGGATGTGTCCGATAAATGGGGTATAGCCATTCTGATGGTTAAAAAAAGATTTGTTACACCACTGTTTTGGGGGTATCCAAATGTCGCACCGGTCGGTTCAAAAAAAAAATGTGTGGTTAAGGATGCAAACAATAAATTGATACAATCCTGATGGAAAACCCCCGTGTTTTGATGCTTACATCCTTGTAAATCATGTTGAATACGTTAGATCCACATATTTTTGGTGGTACCTGTCTTTTACTCACCCAATCAAGGTAGGTATTTCTGCAGCGCTCCGGCCCGGTTCGCCGTGGCGTGGCAGCCATAGCTATGTTGAAATATGTAAAATGACCAGTTGGTCAAACTCCCATTTTTTTTTGCATGAAATCAGCATGTTTAATCATGTTCAATTTAAGTAAATCATATTTTTAACATCTAACATCTATAAATCAGTCATTTTCCCTCTTCCCAGTAGGTTTCTATGTCCTTTCGAGGCTTGGAGCAAGACATGCACCAGAGACGAATAAAAAGGATTGAAAAGGAAGATATGGGTTTATCTCAAATATTGTATTATTGTATACTGATACCCCTATATTTGTGCCACTTTAATATGGAAAATGATGATGGTCCGTAAGCCAAAGAATCCACCACCTTGCCCCTCGCAGCGTTGCAGGGGCCGCCATTGAGTGTGTTGGTGAATGGTCGTCCACTACCGCTGGGCCGGCCGCAGTTGGCATGGATCCCTGCGGTGCTTCTGCAGCACTAGATCGATGTGGCTATGGTGGCTATGGCTCAAATCCTTGTCACAAAAAACATGGATGGTATATCATAAATTATAGCAATAATGATTCAATAATGTATGAACGTATACGGATGGTATTAATCATGATGATATACGTATAATTTAATGACCCCTTTGAAAAAGATAGTGAATGAAAATGACCAATTGTGTGGGTTCATAGGCTCCTGATGTTTGAGCCATGGTCATGTGTTTGAAGATAAATATAGTTTTGTATAGTTTTGTAACAATGTAGTGAGTATTGAGTATGCTTTTTCCTCACCCATCAAATGGGGATATAGTCGAGATATTTCAGAAGCTATGTATATACTGTGTATAGACATATAGATGTGAACTAAAAAAATGCATAAGTTCATCAGCAATAACGTTTTTGATGGTTGAGCCCTAAGAATATCGGTCAGTCATCAGAGATCGTTCCAGTTGTTCGAAGGCACATTGAACATATTTGATACGGGAAACCACAAACCAGTTTGTGCATGTCAAGCTCGTGGGGTTCCATCACATGGCTCTTCAATTTAAACATGTGTTTTAGGGTACTACATGTTGTATTTACACGTGTGCATATATATATATACATATATCTATATCTATATCTATCTATCTATCATTATCTATCTACATATATATATAATATATCATATATACATACATGTGTATATATATACAGAAGTATGATGCCTCCAGAGCATTGATTTCTTGCATACTCTTTCTTCTTTACATGTAAACATACATATTTAAGTATGTGTTATATTATATATATACATACGTGTTGTTTGCATGTTTGGCAAGATATGTATTGTGTGCATGGTTGTTTTTTTTTGCAAATATATGCATAGACATTCATGTGTATGTGTTTAATTGTACTTACAGTGTATATATATATACATATATATGTATATATACATATATATATATATGAATATATGGATATACTCCTATGTACACACATTTTACCCATGTTGTATCCCTACGGTTCTGGGATAGGCTGAAACCACGGTCTGCTCCCCAGGCCGAAGCGTTGCTGTTGCATTCGCCTCTGGACCGCTGGGGCGTGGCTCTTCAGCCCATATCTGGCATTCCCAGCGGATTTGATAATATGGTGATAAACCCTTGGTCTAGACCGAATTGGAACTATATAAACCATAGCGGACAACAAATGGTTTCGTATGTTAAACGAATAAGATCAAGAAACACCATGGATATTTCCAGATGTGAGTTCCCTCTACCGAAGATTGACCTGTTCACCTCTGGAAGTATCCTTGATTATCGAGTCTAATGTTTCTTTACCCAGCTGACTCCGTCAAGAATGGTTTGATATAAATCCCGCGCCGAGTTGCCTGAAGTTTGAGTATTCCCAAGCTCATGGTTTATCATCATCTTCCTGTTCCTGAAATGGCCATACATTTATGTGATTTTTGAGTGTACAACAACCGGCCAGCTTTCAAATCATCAGAAAACCCATAAAAGCGGCTTGATCCAAGCCAAAATCCACAATACGGGAGCTACAAATGATTCCAAGTGGCGGTGCATTGCGGATACGTTTCCCATGATGAAATTTCTACGACCCAGACTTGCTCCATTCATCATTGAGCACTGTACCCTCCTGTAACATAGATGTGCAAAACTCACCATTCATAGATTTCCTAGGGAAACCATCGGTTTTCCACATCCATCTGGTTGGTGGTTTGGAACATGTTTTATGTCTTTCCATATATTGGGAATGTCATCATCCCAACGGATTAATATTTGTCAGAGGGGTAGGTCAACCGCGAACCAGCTATGTTTCCAATGTGTTTTTCCGCAGGACGCCATGGCACCTCAGCTGTTGCTTCAGCGCCCCTCGGACCCTTCGGGCGCCACAGCGCGCGCGTTGCATCTGCCCGCGCTGCAGCCACGTGGCGCGGCGGCGCATCGCCTGCGACCATCTGCCGAGGAAGGCCACTGGACTAGGGAGGGGGTACCACCAATAGTGGAATGGTGCTTAATGGTGGTTAATGGTGGTTAAAAACAGTCAATAATAGTTAATCATGAGTTCCAATGGTTTTAGTGGAAAATCATTCAAAACATCATGATTAATAATGGGTAAATAATGGGTGAATAGTGGTGAATAATGGTGAATTGAATACTTAATGATTTACCTTTGATAATCAAACGTGGCAATTGAAAATCCCTTCGAGAAGAAGGTTTAATAGCTGGGTAAACAATTAAAAAATTGTGGATTTTCCATTGCTTGTTTGATTACCAGCTGATAATTTGCAACTAAAATGGTATGCCTCCCCCAATTAAACGGGCTTAAGAATATTAATGATCTGGGATTGACAGGAATGGTGATACATATACATATATACATATATATATATACACACAGAAATCATTGATTATTGATGTTTTAAATTGGCTATATCCTGGCTTATGCTTTAGCAGCCCGTTTCCTTTTTTTCCCACCAACGGTGATATGTTTCAACCAGCTGTATCTCAGTGGCAAATTGACCGACAGACTGGAGATGGGTAACATGTGCATTTATGATGTGAAGCTGTCACACCAGCTGATACATACGAAGCAAACCCATTCATTTAATGAGGCATGTATTTTGGTAGGTCTTAGGTAGGTTTTCGGTATAAATGAGGACGCGACAAACAAAGCGATGGTTTTGAAACCAGCCATTAACAAAGAATGCAGCGCAAAAAACAAGCACTAGCGGGAAGACAAACACCAAAATCCAGAAGTGCAAAGACCCTTTTCACTGGCTAAAGAAGCAAAAACGTATCTGTATGTATCTGTATATTGTGTGTATTGCTGTGTCTTCTTGACATTTCTTCACCTGATATTGTAACTGCATACATATAATTCTAGTCAACATATTTGTGCGATTGGATCGGATTTAGGTGTACGCTTGTTTCTTACGTGTAGCTATGTGTTGTTCCAAATACATTTATATAATTTATATATAGGTACTTGTGTGGTCAGTCTATATAACTTCTCAATGCCTTTCATCTTCTCATTTTATTCAATATAGGTCATGGTATCAATTTCTTTTTATTTTCCATTATCTTTGTGTCTTTGTGCATTGTGCATAAAGTGTATCTTGACATATTGCATGGTTCAGTGCATGCATGTTTGAGACATACATACTTTTTTTACAATTATATGAAGATATACATATATATATATACATATTCATATTATATTCACTAATGTAGTGTATGTAATGTAATGGAATGTAATGTAATGGAATCTAATGTAATGTAATGTATGCATGCATGCATTTATGTATGTAAATGGTGTACATGTTCGAGTATCATTCATTTTCCAGAAAATGAAATGTCTCGTTCGTGATGGAACTGTTCCTTGCGTACACAGATATCTTTGTTTCGCGGCATAGTTTCTCTTTTCTATGTATGCGCAGGTTTATTGGTAGGTGTGTCCATATATATATGTATTGATTGATTTGATTTGATTTGTTTTGATTTGATTTGCTTTGATTTGATTTGCTTTGATTGATTGATTGATTGACTGTATGTTTATGTACATACTTATGTATGTAAGTATGTATATGGATATGCAAATGTAATGTAATGCGATGCGATGAACTGTACTGTAATGTAATGTATGTATGTATACGTTTCCATGTTTCTTACTGTGTGCGATGTCCGCGTTCTATTTTGTATGTTTGCTTCGTTTTTCCGGAATTTATGTTCTGGATATGTAGATATAAATGACCATTATGTATTTTAAACTTATATTGTTGAGGTATCAACAATGGCCCCATTTGGGCTCTCCTGTGAGGCTTCGTTTTGGTGCCCCATGGCTGGGAGCCTGGATACCAATCGGAGCCGGCTTCCAACAGTGGCATGTTGGATTTGACGCCAAGCCTCAATGAAGGTGGGCGGAGTAAGGTGATGGCTGGGGAAGGGGTATTGTGAGCAGAAAGATGAGGACAGTAAACATTGAAAAATTAATTTAATGGGTATCTGGTTGGTGGTTGGAGCATGACTTTTATTTTTCTATATATTGGGAATGTCATAATCCCAATTGACTTTCATATTTTTCAGGTATACTATTATTCATGAATTCTCCAAAAACACAAACCAAATATTCCATGAGGTATGGTCGTTCACGGGCTGACCTCACCCATGATGGTCAATAAGGGCAACCATCCCAGAAATTGGTTTCCATTTCGAAATGCAATCCACTGGGATTTGAGTTGTCACAAGTTGGGAAATTTGGACACGGCCAACGCTGTTTTTGACCTAATGTTGGATGCTGATTAATGTGTGCACCCCCTTCCCCCAAACAATTGAAGGGCAGTGAGTACACGAACAATTCCGAGGAACATGGTCTGGGAAGAAGGTCATGAAGCTAAATAAGGGTTTTGAATCATTCGAAATTACGTTTACTTCATTTTCACGTATCTCTAGAGAAGGATTTGACATAATTTGAACAAACTGTCAATTCATGTTCCTTTGTTGAGTTCATGGGCGATGGGATCTTCGAGGAGTAGATTTTGTTAACATTGGATCATTTTGTTCTTCTCTCCTGCGTTTCCCATCCTTTGTTTTTTATTTTGTGTATGGTTCCCCTTATTTTTTGTTTTCTTGTTTTTCCTTTTTTTGATTTGTATGGTCCTTTTTTGTTCGTTTGTTGTGTTTGTTCGTTTATTTGTCTTGTTTTTTGCACTTCATCTTGTCTTTTTTTGCGTTTATTCCATGTATTTCCTTTCTTCTTTTTTCGTTTCTTTCTGCTTTCTTCTTTGGGAGCCTTGGCATTCTTTTCACAAAAAAATGCGTTGGTGAAAGTCCCTGTTTGATTCTTCTCCTCTTTGGGTTGGTCAAGTGCCGTTTTGGTTGTGTCGTTGAAATGTGCGATGTTGGTAGATTTGGTTTCTTCCTATTGCAGCAAACATGTTGGTTGATCAGATGTTCATCCAGATATTCAGAAATCTTGTTGATCAAATCGCTGATTGAATCCCTCATATTGGTGGTAAAAACACTTTCGTTCTTTTACTGCAATATGTCCAGGGTTTTGTTCCCCACCTGCCAGGTGAGGGTTGTTAGATTTTATCAGAGTTGTTCTTCTCCTCCTCCTCCTCCTCCTTCTTCTCCTCCTCCTTCTTCTCCTCCTCCTCGTTCTCCTCCACCACCTCTGCCTCCACTTCCATGTCCACTTCCGCCTTGCCAACTCTTCGCCAAGCTCTTCGCCAACTTCCGCACGCAGTGGCCACTGCTGGACCTCAACTGCAAGGGTCTGAGCGCACTGGGCACCGCTGGACCTCAACCTGGGACCTTCCGAGCTCAGTGAGCACCGCGGGACCTCCACCTGGGACCCTCCGAGCTCAGTGAGCACGGCTGGACCTCAACCTGGGACCCTCCGAGCGCAGTGAGCACCGCTGGACCTCCACCTGGGACTCTCCGAGCTCAGTGAGCACGGCTGGACCTCAACCTGGGACCCTCCGAGCGCAGTGAGCACCGCTGGACCTCAACCTGGGACCCTCCGAGCTCAGTGAGCACCGCTGGACCTCAACAGCCAGATAGAATGCCAGAAGGTATGCCAGATAGAACGCCAGATGGCATGTCAGATAGAATACCAGAAGATATGCCAGATAAAGTGCCAGAATGTTTGCCAGATAGAATGCCAGAAGATATGCCAGATAGAATGCCAGAAGGTATGCCAGATAGAATGTCAGATAGAATGCCAGAAGGTATGCCAGATAAAGTGCCAGAATGTTTGCCAGAGCGAACGCCAGAAGATTTGCCAGATAGAATGCCAGATAGAATGCCAGAAGATATGCCAGAAGATATGCCAGGTAGAATGCCAGAAGATATGCCAGATAGAATGCCAGAAAGTATGTCAGATAGAATGTCAGAAGATATGCCAGATAAAATGCCAGAAGATATGTCAGATAGAACGCCAGAAGATTTGCCAGTAACAAAACGTATAGATGTCATGGTGGGGATAACTCGAAGTAAAGTATTTTTTATCGGATTTACTATGCCACAGCCCACCATTGTTCTTTTGTCATGGTTGAAATCCCACGTTTATTGGTAACATCATGTTGAATCCCCGATTTTCAGATTAAATTCGTTTGGGTTTGTCTGATGATTCCCCAAAATCCAGTTGATCCTCCGTTTTCCCTATGATTTCCATTGGTTTATCAATGACTTTCCTCATTTTTCCCTATGATTTCATGACATTTTCATGGCATTTTCATGGCATTTCCCACGCCAGGTCCAAGGGGTTCAAGTCCCTTGGGCGCCACGTTCACGGCGTTCACAGCCATGTCTTCGCTGCTGTTCTTCCAGCCGAGCCTGTGGCGGGTGGTGCAGCTGGATCTGATTCGAAGCTCGGAGAAAATCCAAAAGGGTTGCGAAATCCTGCACCAATTTGGGATGGTTGAAAGGATGGTTGAATAATGGTTAACCTATTAATGATTAATAACCATTATAAACCATTAATAACCATTATAAACCATTGTAAACCATTAATAACCATTAATAACTTATGAATAATATTGAATAATGGCATGTTTGCCAGCGTTTTCAACTGGTGCAGGATTTCGCAACCATTCACAGTATGTTTGAACAAGGGAACATATATGTCCCTAGTTCTTGGCTGATTGTTCATATGAACAATAGTTAATGCTTGAATGTTAATATAGGACTTGCGGTCAACCATGAATATGAACTAAATATGGAAAATATGATCAGCTAACCCACATGAGGGAAAGATAATCCTGATAGGCGAACAATCAACCATATTCAACTATGAACATTATTCGGTCAACCAAAAAAACATAACATGTGGGTTCGTTGAAAAACACTATAGGCAAATAACCAACTATAGTTGGGTGTTGAAAGGAAATTGACAAATAATAAGAAATTTTTCGGTACTGAAGCAACTAGGGGGATTTAACCAACTATGTTGACCAACAGAGAGTAGAGAATTAACCAACCAACAATGGGGATTTAACATGATTTAAGCAACATTAACCAACTCTAACGGGGGCACTTTATTGGATACAACGGGTATCTAACCAATAATGAATAATAATGATTTGGCTGAGCTCAACTATAATTCAACCCAATTTGGGATGCGATCCCAGCTGATTATTATATTTCAGGGGTTGGAACCACCAACCAGTCATGGGACGCACTTCCAGGTGATACTAATTGGGCAAACCTTGGGGTAGTGCTAATAGCACGGTATATTTGGGATTACTTTGGTGATATGACTTGAAAGAATGAAAGAATATGTGGTGATATAATGGTGATCAAGAAGCTTTTCAATAGCTATTATGCGATACTAGCAGGCACTTGATATTACAGGACATTAGTAGTCAAATTATACGGATGTAGTGGGATATAATCGATCAAAAAATATGTATGCATATATATATATATGATTATATGTATGTATGTGTATATTTATATATATATATGTACCTCTGTATACACATATACATGTTTGTAGATGGAAAAGCGGACATGCTGGGATGTTTTTAGTGGGACAATAAATTCATATGGTTGATATCAACCAGCCATTCCATAGATGATGGGATTATATTTTTTTATGGGAACCCTCAGGAGAGCAAACCCGAGAAGTTCAGATCGAACATTTGCTCCCAGCAGCTTTGAGACAGCGACTGGGCGGACGACTTGCATCCCTGAAGTGTTCATAAATCGGTAGATTTTTAGTTACACTTCAGGGATGTTCTTAAGAAGGGAATACTAACACTATCTGGTTGGTGGTTTGGAACAGTTTTTATTTTCCCCAATAGTTGGGATGATGATCCAATCTGACTTTCATATTTTTCAAGATGGTTATTGCACCAGCAACCAGCTATGATGGTTTCACCAACCAGTGTTCTTTGTTGCTCAGGGATGAGGCTTTAGCGAAGTCCGGAGATATTGGTAGCGTGAGTGGCACGGATGTGCTTGACGATTTGTGCATACAGTATTTGTGCTATATGAAGGTTTCCATAAATGGGGTACCCAAAAATAGATGGTTTATAAGGGACACTCCTTCTGAAATGGATGATTCGGGGGTACCCTTATTTTAGGAAACCCCCATATATACAATAATACATAGTTGGATATAATGATATATTTGGTGAATTGTCCACCTCTGCGCATGGCGCACTGTAATTCGTCGTGGTGCTTCGAGGATCACAAACCAACATGATTCCAGCTGCCTAGTGTTTGACAAAACCATTGATTTCAGAACTTCATGTATCTCCATAGGATGAGGCAGTCACAAGCTTCACTTCCGACCCATGACTTGAAGGCGGTTTCATGCCCTGACCCATTAGCAGTGGGACTGTTCTTGGCCAGGCACTGGCAAACAGCAACTGAGTTTCCAGTAGCTCGGCACAGCGCCCAAAGATTCTCTGAGGATGATCCAGCTCTGGACCAGTTGGTTTTCGTGGCTTAACCATGCTTAACCACCAGGTCCTAGGTTCGTTACTGCATTTGCCCATATGATGTTGTTAAAACAATGCCATGTTTACCACCGATTTTCCTGGGAATGGTAAGTTTATAGCACCCATAAATTTATGGTGATGACTGGGGGATGGTTTATGATTGTTTTAACCACAGTACTGCAATTCCTATACAACTGCTGATCCATCTTTGATATATGTTGATCATCTGTCACTGGTGAAATGCATGGCAATGGAAAATATGTTCTTCAAGGATGATGTTCTAAACAAAGTTTGGGATTGTTCATTACCATTACAACCAGAGGGTAGCTCTCTTGTATAGCCATTCTTTGCTGGCAGTATCCCTTTTTAATTAACTGGTGTTGTGGGTTAACTCCCTATTCTCCTTTTTACCTATACTCATTGATGATATCTTGAAATGTGCGTTTTTTTCAGAAGTGCGTGAAGCTGAAAATTAGAGGCAAGCCTCATATTTCCCAGTGAAAGAAGATGGCGCCCTGACAATTTCAGCCACGGAGTCGGTCATTGATAGCGTCTCCAACTCAGATTGTGGTCTCAGCAACTGCCACGAGTACCTTGGGAGTTGAGATGCTGCTGGGTGTTCCACAAAGCACCTGGGCCTGGAACAATGTCTGAAGTGAAGGCCACACTTTATCCGATGGAAATATGGAAGTTATTGACAAAAAGAAAATCAGCCAACAAACATTTTGAGTCATTTTGAGTTCCTCAGTCTCGAAATTATGTACCCGCAAACCGATCGGTGTTGTGGAAATGTTTGGTTCCACAGATCCGTAGCATGACCAGAGGTCACTTGCAAAGCTCGCTTTACCTCCAGCAACTGCGACTGTTGGTTCCCTCTGGTGTCCTGACCTCCCTTTCGAAATCTACAGGGAAAATCATCTACAGTAGATTAACCCGCAAAAAGATAGAAAAGTAAAATCCTATTGAAATAGTATTTGATGACTTTTCTATCTTATTGAGGCTTACAAAAAAAAGACCGTGTCTTTTCCAATCTGCCTGAGTTTACCACAGGCCACCGACGTCAAATGGCGCAGCGCCAGGCAGAACTGCTACGGCCCAGACATTTTTGAGTCTCTTCTTCCCGGCCGGTGATCCACAACAGGCGCCCCGGATGGGTCTGGTGGATCAACCATCGGTTTTTTTGAAACACGCCAGGGGCGGAGCCCCAAACCATAAATGCCATACACCATTAAAGAAAAGAACCTAAGATTTGGATCTTGTGGCCTTGCCAAATTGAGAGATTTTGTTTGGGTTTAGCACATGAAGTCATCTTGGGGAGTTTAAGCTTCACCTTAAGATGTTTTTTTGGGAGATTTTTTGAAACGGGCCGCGGAGGTGTTCAATTTTGACATTTCACCAGCCCGGTGAATGCGACCAAAAGCGTTGCCTTGAACGTTCAAGGCAACGCCGCGAGCACGTTTGGTGGAATCCCATCCGCGGCAGAGTGCTGCAGGCCATGGGCGATGGAATTGGGGAAATGATAGCTACATACCAATGTTTAGGAGAGACATGATGATTAGCCGTTGATGCATGGTTTTGGGGTGTCGCCCAGTTTTCAGACCAACCCATGTGGTGAGAGGAGAAAAAAACTGAATGTTTAAAACAGTTTTTTTATATCCCTTACTCAGCCCATTTCCACATGATTTTCCCAGTAAGTTTCTGGTCCATTTTCTCACCAGGCGGAGTTTTGCCCATTGGTCTTCCAGGAGGCCCCACCGCAGGCGCGATAATGTGGAGAGTTGCACCAAGGGGCTTGGGAGAAGACCCAAAAACTGCGGGTTTAACCATGAAAAATTGAGATGTCACCAGTTGAAGTGTGGAGTTCACCTTTGTACCCAAAAAAAGGAGTGAACCCACAGAATCCACAGAGAATGGAGAGTTTACCAAGTGGAATTGTAAGTTTGGCCAGGAAATATGCAGGTGTTGCAATTGAGAAGACTTGGGAATAGACCCCACAAGATGGAACAAACCTGGAAAGACATGTATCAATGTATCCATCGATATCCACTGCCAACGAATGTGAGAAATAGAATGGGCAATCAGAAAGGTAAAGACGTATCATGGGCATGTCCAGAAACTGATAGATTCGTCACACCTCTGGGGAAAATGCCATACTAAATCACCATGTTCCCCATGTTAAGATAGGTATTTTTCTGGAAAAATGTCATATTTCACCAATGGGGGCAATCACCCCAGGGAAAATCACCGTTTCTCGGTGGCTTCATCTCCGTTCTTTCGAGGCATCACGGCTGTGCCTTTTGGCAGCGAAGGCTCCATGACCTTTGCCGGAGACGAGGCGGAAGCGCCGTGGCGCTCGATGATGAACAGTGGATTACCCAAGAAACATATCGTATAAGCCGCAAAATCGGGAAATCTGGAGATCTCCAACGAAAATGAGCATTTGACTGGCAGAATGGCGGTTTGGACCAGCAAAACATCGCAAGTTAGTTCAAGCTGCATGGATCATTTAAGATCATTTAAGTATAGACTCCAAAGTGGATAGCTTATGGGACTCTTTCTTCGAGATGGACAAACAAAGTCCGGTGGATTTACAATTTCAGGAGGAAAATATGGAAATTCAACCGGCGAAATGAATGCTGTGTATACAATATATAATTGTAAACCACCAAATGCCATGTCTATTCCACCGACGTTTTGTTTCTATGATGGTAGTTGAGGTCAGCCCCGGTTCTGCCCAATAAACGAATAACCAGAAATGTTGGCAAAGAATCATTTAATAGGCATTGGAAAAGCAACCTTGACACATTAAGCATAAATCATTAAGATGCATCATATGATATCCAATAGCAGCAGTAATAATTGAAATCACTAATCATCAAAAACAACAAATAATCAGTAGAAACAATAATATTCGCGCTACTCATTAATCAGTATGTAATCATTGAGATAACCGACAATGACAAAAATGTTGACACTGATAATAGCAATCGCAGAGTCGCAGAGTAACCACAATCATCTAACTTATAACCATAGGCACAAACATAGAACAGTTCGGAGCAGTTAATCAACCATAAATAAGCAGGTACCCCAACGTATCCCCAGTTATATCCCCATCGTATCTCTGGTTATTGCCCGCTAAACCCCCCAGTGAAGAATAGCCACAACTAACAATGATAAGCAGAAATATTGGTCAAGAAAAAGACAACAATTAGTCAAAAGTAGCCAAGATATCACGGAATATTCCCCAACCAATAAGCAATCACAACCACAAGCAAGTATTATGATATAACAATTGCCATCACTTAAAAATAAAAGAATTCATCAACAAATCGAATCATTTCAGATAACCATTTTCATAGCTAAGAATAGTTCTTTCCCAGAACCTGAATCTTCAATGGCCATTTCAGGAACCGATTTATTGGAGGTACCTACCATAAGGATCCTGGAATTCCCATCAACTATCTGACTAATCATCCACAACAAAATATCCATAACTATCCATTATAATTATCCATTAACTATACCTTAACTATCCATGGTCCTTATGATCATTGATTAATTATCCATGACTATCCATTATAATTATCCATATCATTAACAAAATATCCATTAACTATATCCATTAACTATCCATTAATTATCCATTGATAGTTAAGGTATAGTTAATGGATAAAAAAATTGATAGTTATGGATATAATATCCATTGTATCATAACAAAGATATCCTTAACTATCCATTAATTATCCATTCATGTCTTCCCCAATGATCTCCCGATTTCCCAATGATAGGTGGGCCGCCTCCCCGGAGCCACCACGGTCGCCAACCTAGTGGAGGGCCAGGCGCAGGATGGCGCCAAGGCGGGAACAAACGACTTGGAACGACGACCTGGTGGAAGATGGGAAAAAAAATTGTGTTTTACCAACAACAAATGGTGATTTAACCATTAAAAGTTGTGATTTGACCAACAAAAATGGTGTTTTACCAACAACAAATGGTGATTCAACCGACAAGAATGGTGATTCAACCGACAAGAATGGTGATTTAACCAACAAAAACGGTGATTTGACCAACAAGACTGGTGATTTGACCAAACAAGTACAATGTGACGACGCAAAAGTGAGGATTTCACACTGAAAACCATGAAGTATGGTTGTGAGTATGTATGTAAGATTGGATTTGTCAACTAGGGAGCAAAAAGTAGCTGTAAAGAAGCACACATGGTTGTGGGTCAAGACTTGGGACTCTAGGGCGCAGATTTGATTCATTTCAATTCGCATGAAATTTCAGGGTTGACCCAATGCCCGTATCAAGAATTCCAAAGATATCATATGATCTAGTTTGAGGAAAGTGGACTTGACGTGGATTGATAGTGAGTTCCTAGCTTTGTGTGATGAAGTCCCCAGCAAACAAACGATGTAAAAGGATTTCCAGAGAGGTTTTGGGCAGTGCTCAATTAGCTGTGGGTCGAAAGCAACAACCCAAAAAAAATGTGCGTACATAGTTGTGCACGTCCCCACATATCACCTATTGTGTTCACATTTGAGATGCGAACAGCAGGGTGAAATGACCTAGATAGTGTGGGTTCTATATCCTGTTGTTGTTGGCTTACGCCCGCAGCACCTCCCAAAAGGGGAAAGCCTTGGGGGTGCCACATCACGAAAGGCTCTTTGGGCATACCTTGCGCCCAACGCAGTACCGGAGACCGCAACAACGAGGACACTGGGGATGGTAACTGCAAGGTTTGCCAAGAAGAAGTTAGATTCCAAGTTCAAGTACTGTGATAAGAAATAAATAGAAATAATCCAGTTAATGTATGAATAATTTCATTGGTAATATGCAGGTAGTGTAGTAATAAGTTAGATTCCAACTTGAAGTTATGGTTACCATAACTGTGAAGCCATAACGCCATAACAACCAGCCCAACCATCCCCCGGGGGGACTCACCAGAAATGGCTTGGAGCCTCCAAACCCCCATCCCATCTTTTGGTGGCGACTTCATAGCCATGATAGAACCAGTTGTTGTTAGTGTGTATGTTTAAACGTCTCGTTTTTTAAGACGAAGAAGCATGTACCATATTTTTTCTGTAGCATTTGGCTGCAGCTGTATCAATGCGGGTTGGGGGCCAACCGGCCCCCGAGCTTTGCTGCTGCAGTTTGTGCCTGGCGGTCGGGCGCCTGTCAGTGTTCTGCCACTCCGGTGAGCTAGGACCAGGAGCGCTTGGATTCGCCACCGATCGCGTGCGCATCCTCTACAACGAGTTGCTCGACATTAGGGCTCGAGCTCCGCCACCTCCTCGACCTGGTGGCGTGATTGGTGTCCCCCCCCCTGTGGCAGAAGGGGTGGGCGGACCAGGGACCAACCCAGGAGGTGGTCCGGACCTGGGAGTGGCAGCTCCCGAAGCTCCCTTGGGAGGCGAGACAAGTGCGCCCTTGTCCACTCCCGGAGCTGAAGTCAAGACCGAGCAGACCGAGCCGGAAGTGCCACCTCCAGACCCCGTGAAGGGAAAGTCACCTCCCGAATCTAAGGGAGAACAAAGGGAGTCTGCGCCTCCCGTAGCACCAAAGGCTGGTGCCCTCACGCCTCAACCTCCTCCTCCTCCGCCCCACTGGCCGTTGTCGACTGAAGAAGAAGCGCCAGCCGCAAATTCGAAGGCTACCTCACGAGGGGTGGCGCCTGCTCCTCCTCCACCTAGTGTCACTGGGGCCAAAGGAGTGGTTCCTGTGAAAGCCGCTCCTCGCCTTCCAGCAAGTGAGGCTGCCAGTTCCTCTGCACCCAAGGCCACAGAGGGAATCAACAAAGGGCCCAGGGAGGAGGACGAATACACCTACGAGAGTTGTGAGGAGGAAGCTGTTGAGGAGGACCCAGAAGTAGACAAAAGAGAAACCAAGTCTCCTGTGAAAGCGGAGGCATCGGCCCCAGAACCGTTAGAGGAGAATAGGAAGAAGGAAGCTCGGTCAGAAGAGAAGAGGTCAACTGAGGAAAAGCAGCGTCGATCCAGGGAAAGGTCCAGAGATCGCCGCGATAGGAGGAGGACATCTCGGGGCCGGTCAAAAACAAGGTCGCGCAGAAGGGGAGACAGGCGCTCCCGCAGAGAGGAGAGTGAACGAGGTGGTAGAAGGCGCAGAGGAGAGGCCCGACCAGTTTCTCCTCCAGGGCCACCTCCTGCTCACCTCGTGGGACAAGGCAAGGGGTCTGGCAAGACCCATCCAGTGTGGAAGAAGTCCAAGGGCAAAGTGCGTGACGCCAGGTGGAAAGACATTCAGCAATTTGGCCCTAACAAAAGGAGGAAGAAGAGGAGAGAAGAGGGGCAAAGGTAATGCCCCCGAAGCTTCGACGGCCGGCAGCAGTAATCCCACACCCAGGTGGCGGTCGAAGGAGGCCAGCTGCTCGAGAGGAAGCTAGCGTGCCGGAGGGGGCTGCCAACACAGTTGAAGAAAAGTTTGGCCGAGGGGAGAACGTGGATATTGCCCAGCTGCCCATTAGCGCTCTGAAAGTCGGGCAATTACTGGTCTTTGACGAGGCCAAATACTTTGGCGGAAGCTGCAAAGTTGCGGGGCGCTATCGGGAACTATGGCAAGGAGACCACGATCAACGTCTCAAGGTTCACATTACGGGCACGACCAACGCGGACTTGCTGGCCTACGCGACAGGGACAGCAGACCGCCTGGGGGAGGTGCATCTTTGCCCTCCCGGCTGCGCGGGGGAGCCCCATGCTCCCGGCTTGATCCACAGCCTTCAAGTGAGGAGTGTAAAGAAGGAGGAAGAGAAAGGTTTGGTTTGGGAGTTGGACTTAGAGACACCTCCCGGGGACGAGTTAGAGTCCCTTCGTCGGAAGCAGGAGGAGTTGGAAAGACAGTTAGTGGTAGCAAAAGGCGAAGCAGGAACAGCAGGGGAGAAGAAAATCTCCCGTTCAAGGAGGAGGAGAAAAGAAGAAGAAGAAGGGTCGAAGTCGGAGCTCCAGCAAAACCAGTACCGCCGACCAGAAGAGGGCTGGCGCAGAGAAGGTCAGGAGGAAGAGAAAATGGGGAGGTCGAAGCATTGCGCGGAAGGACCTCTCCCTGATCTACGGGGGGACAGGCCTGGACCCTCAGGCCAAGATCCGTCGAAGAGTCATGCACTACGCCAAGAAGAAGTTGCGAACAAAGGCATCCAGTTCGTCCAGCAACAGCTCGACGTCGACCTCCCGCACCGAAAGAAGCTCAGAGGAGGAGGGCGACCTCCTGCAAGACTCCAACAAGATCAGGAGCCTCCACCGTCATGGCCCGGGCCTTCTAGCAGCCATGGGGGTGGGCCGCATGAAGGAGGCCATGGTCGAGTTGGAATTTGGAAGGAAGAGGAGGCTTCGCTGCCCCCCATCGCTATGAAGTATGTGAGGAGCACCCTGCATGGAAAACTATCAGGGGGTGCCCTGAGGGAGGTTATGACACTGGCATCTATGCTGGACTTGATGATGATGGGTCGGGTAAGCGAAGCTGCCGATCTGGGGATGCAGAGACTCAAGAGTATAGAACGGGTCTCTCAAGGGAGTACCTGGGCTTCCACCGAGAAGTTGGAGCTGATCGGGACCCTGGCACCCCAGATCTCCACCAGAGCCGAGATGAGTGTGGCGGCAAAGGAGCTGAAGTTGGAGCACCAGGTCAAAGGAGGAGCAAGCCTATACAAGGGCAAGGGAGTAGGAGCTCCCGATTCAAAAGGAAAGAAAGGCAAGGTCGAAGACAAGGGAAAGGGCAAAAGGACGGGAGAAGGCGATCGAGGCTTCAAAGAGAAGAAGGACAAGTGAGGAGACTTATGAAAAGAGAGGAGGTGGGAGTGACAGGCTCCCGGCGTGAGCAAGGCAAGAAAGGGGGTGACAAAGAGGAGGAGAAGTCAGAGAAAGCTCGGGAAGAGGCGCTTGGTGAGCCTCCCAACACGGGAGGAGGGAGCTGGAAGCTCCCGGGGGCATTTTGTCCTCGTCTCGATGGAGCTGCCACTCCAGGAGAGACAAACCTTGTACAGTTAGATGAGACTGTCCGCTTGGATGATGAAAATAAGGAGATCCGTTTCAGCCAGGGTGGGGTTTTTTCTGAGGTAGTAGGGTGGCTAAGTAGCAGGTTGGACTCTTACTTTGTAGAGCGGTGCAGGGCCAAGCCCACGGGCAGGGTGTTCCCCTTGCCCACGTCCGACCTAGCATTTAAAGTCGCTTTCCCCCAGGAAACCCCAAAGGTACTTGGCTGTTTGCGTTTTTTGTGTGTTTCCCTTAATTCCCTCAATGGCGAGGGTCTGTATTGTACTACTGTCATTTCCTCTTTTCAAAAAAGAGTTTTGTCTCACCTTTTGGAAAATTGTCGTAGAGTACTGGAATGGGATGTCCAAGAGACTCCCGCGTCTTGGGCCAGTTTCTTCAACATAAAGACAGTGGATTACCGGGGAGAAGAAATACTGATGGCTCAGCCAATACAGTGGGAGAACATATCTCCCGCCTTACCCGATGAGGTAGGGTCAGTTGATCTTCAAAGTGTGGTTGAAATGGGCAGTGCTCACTACGTTACCAACTTCTCTGAGTACCTGTTGCCAATTGATGATCAAGTGTATACAAAGCCCCCTAAAGTTCATGTCCCTGCGGAGGCTTGGACTAAGGTGTGCGAAGGCCTCTTGGCCAAAGGCATTTGCCAAGTGATACATGAAAGCGAGATTTACCATGTTCATGGTCAGCCTCTTCTGAACGGACTGTTCGGGGTGAGCAAACATGAATTCTGCAATGGCTATGAGACTAGGCGTCTCATAATGAACATGATACCGCTAAACCGCATCTGCCGTGGGATCTCTGGAGATGTATCGACTTTGCCCTCCTGGGCAAACATGTCGGCTCTGCACTTGATGCCACATGAAGATCTGGTAGTATCTTCAGAAGATGTGCGATGTTTCTTCTATATCTTCCGGGTCCCGCAGGAGTGGCATGGCTTCCTTGCTTTCAACAAGCCAGTCCCGCACCATTTGCGTGGTCCGCTGCCTGGTGTTTACTACCTCTGTAGCTCGGTATTACCGATGGGGTTCAAAAACTCCGTATCACTGGCGCAGCAGGTGCACCGAGTGGTGGTGCGCCGTGCCATGGTCCATAGTGGTATGGCTTTGGGCTCTGAATCGGAGATTAGGAAGGATCGCACCTTCCCAGGAGGTGGCCATCTTTTCAGGGTCTATTTGGACAACTTTGATGAGCTCAAAAAGGTGAACCGCCATTTGGCAGAGACCATCGAGGGGAAGCTATCGGCAATGAGCCTGGGGCTGCGTGAGGAATACTTACGGCTTCAAATTCCACGTCATCCCAAGAAGAGCGTTCAGCAACAGCGTGTCGCAGAAGTGCAGGGAGCCATCGTTGATGGCTCCCGCGGTTTGGCTTATCCGAAACCGGAGAAGGTGATGAAGTATTGCCAGTTGGCCTGCCATCTACTAGCCCGAGGACGTTGCACACAGCGACAAGCTCAAGTAATTGGTGGTGGCTTTGTTTACCTGGCGATGTTTCGAAGACCCTTACTAGGCAGCATGAACGCTTTGTGGCAGTTCATCGTGAGTTTCGAACACTTCCCCCCGGTCATTTCTCTGGATCTCCCGGAGGCAGTCAAAGAAGAGCTGGCCAGGTTCGTAGGCCTCAGTCCTCTTTCAGTGGTAAACTTCCGACTGGATCTCTCCCAGTGTGTCACGGCCAGCGATGCCTCGGAGTATGGGGGAGGGGTAACTTTCTCCCGCGGCCTCACAGAGGCTGGAGCTTGCGCTGCTAGATGCTCTGTGCGAGGTGACATTGTAGAGCCTCTGGAGGTAGAGAGCGTGCTCACAGTGGGCCTTTTTGATGGGATTTCGGCGTTGCGAGTGGCCGTCGACTCCCTTGGTTGGAATATCTTGGGCCACGTCTCTGTGGAATCCAATGAAGAGGCACGCCGGGTGGTAGAGTCTCGGTTTCCCAGCACCCGTTTTGTGACTGACATCGTCTTGGTTGATGAAGCTGAAGTAAAGGAATGGGCCTGCCTCTTTAGTCAGGCTTCACTGGTCCTGTTGGGCTCAGGGGCTCCGTGCCAAGGGGTCAGCCAGCTGAATGCTCAGCGGAAGGGAGCTCTTCGTGACTCCCGCAGTGCTCTTTTCCAACATGTCCCCCGGGTCAAGGCCTTGGTCCAGAAGTTTTTCCCATGGGCTCGAGTGGCGTCTCTTGCTGAGAACGTCGCTTCAATGGATGAACAAGATCGGAAAGTCATGACAGAAGCTTTCGGGGACACGCCCTGGATGATTGATGGCAAGGATTTCTCAATTGCTCGCCGACCTCGGTTATATTGGTTTGATTGGGAGCTAGTTGCTCAAGAGGGAGTCACCTTTCAGCTCTCCCGGGATTCTTCCAGCTCAGCTTGTCATACCGCCAAGGTGCTCACTCAGGTTGACGAGAGGGATTATTTGCATCCCGGGTGGACCAGGCAGGAGGTACAACCCCTACCAACCTTCACCACCTCACGCTGTCGTGACTATGAGGGACACCGTCCTGCAGGAAAGGCTCAGTGCCAGGCCCACGAGCTTGAGCGCTGGAAAGCCGACCACTACCGGTATCCGCCCTATCAATACCAAGACAAGAACTGTTTGCAGCAACGGTCCTCCGGTGAGCTTCGGCTGCCTGACATCGAAGAGCGAGAATGCATCATGGGCTTCCCCCGGGGCTATACCATGCAAGCTATGAAGAAAACCCTCCATAATACCCCGGGGCACTTGGCCAGCCGGCTCTCCATGATAGGCAACTCATGGAATGTCACTGTCGTAGCCTGGATCCTGAACCACCTGGGCTACCTTCTGGGGTTTCACCCACTCCTTAGCCCCCAACAGATAGTGGAGCGGACGGCTCCCGGAAGCACTCATAGTCTTCAAGCCTATCTGCAGCGGCCCCCTATGCGGCAGCAATCTACTAAGGTTCGCGGACAATTGGGCCATCAGCTCGTGCGCAAGCTGTCATCGCTGGTGAGTCTCAAAGGTGAAGATCTTCTTCTCCAGGCAGGCTCGGAAGATTTGGTTCGCTACCAGCGAATGAGGGCGAGTCTCCCGGCCCGGTTGTGGCGTTGGAGAGTTGCCTCTTCGTGGCAGTGGCGCGGTGGACGCGAACATATCAACGTGTTGGAAATGAGAGCCGTCCTCAATGCACTCCGTTGGCGCCTTGAGAGACAGAGTCAGGTCAAGATCAAGTTTGTACATATGGTCGATTCGCTTGTGTGCCTTCATTCACTTTCAAGGGGAAGATCTAGTAGCCGCAAACTACGTCGTACCCTTCTCCGTGTCAATTCCCTCCTCCTTGCAACTGGATCCTCTGTGGTATGGAGTTATGTCCATACCAGCCTCAATCCGGCGGACGCCCCTAGTCGGCGTCCCCGGAAGCGCAAATGGGCTAATGCCTAAGAGAGTCCTAGAAGGTAAAACCAAGGAAGAGAGGATTGACACACGAAAGAAGCTAGGCACACTTAAGAGTTTGACTGTACAACCTGCCACTAGAAAGCGATATGACCGTGCTCTGGAACGCTTTTTTGCGTACCTCAAAGCTGAAGACCTGACGCTGCCTCGCCAGCGATTTCAGATGGACAGTATTGTTAGTGACTATGTCGAACATCTGTGGGGTACTGGCGAAGGCAGGGCTCTCGCTGCGGATACAGTTGCTGGTCTACAAGATACCCAGCCTCAACTACGAGGGCATCTGCTGGGGACTTGGAGGTTGCTCAAAGCCTGGAATACCACGGAAATTCCAAATCGAGCCCCGCCTATGCCGGTCGAAGTCCTTGAAGCCATGGTAGGCCATGCCCTATTTCATCAGCAACCTCTTTTTGCTCTCAGTCTTCTCCTTGGTTTCTACGGTCTTCTGCGTACAGGTGAAATTTTAGGCCTCAATAAGCGACACTTAGCGGTGGCCTCCCGTGACACAGCCGTGCTTGTGTCTCTAGGTTTCACTAAGGGAGGCAAACGCCAAGGCGCTGCTGAGAGTGCCAAGGTGGTGGTGGAAGATGTCATACGACGAGTCAAACAATGGCTGGATACTCCAGGTTCCCGCTATACCTTGACTGAAGCCCCCCATCTATGGCGCAAGATGTTTTCTGATACACTGAACTCTCTGGGGTTTGGACCTCTTGACTTTCGGCCCTACTCGTTACGACGGGGTGGTGCCACTTTTCAATTTAGACAAGAAGGTTCGTTTGACAGGCTCATGGTCAACGGCCGATGGCAGGCTGTTCGCACCACCCGCTTGTATATAAACGAGGGAATGGCTATCTTGGCCGAATTGGCCATCCCTTGGACCCGATACTCCCGTACTCTACGTACTCAGTACCTCACTTCTCTTTCTCAACCTTTGCCAATGCTTGAGCTCTTGCCTAAAGGCAGGGCAGGGGGCGTTGGAAAGCAGAGGAAACAAGCAAAAAAGGCCGAAAAACGGCCTAAACAAACTCCAAGGGGGAGAAAAATAATGCTTGTTCTGCTGGGGTAGGTCCTATGTTGTTTCCTGGGTTTGGCCGGGCGCATAGGCTACCCACGTGCTTTGGCTAGGGCTTACCTGTGGTTTGGCCAGGAAGTCCTGGGGGCACTAGGGGATGGGCCCCTTTTTTCCGTCATCATGGGTGAGGATTTTGAAACTTTTCGCTGATGATTTTTTCGCTGATTTTCTATCTATCTTTGACAAGAATGGTTCTGCACCGCTTAAAAAATTGGGGAAGCGGCTGAGTCTTTATATATATATATATTATATATATATATACATATATACATATACATATATTATCCATTATACAAATTATATCCATTAAATGGTTTTAGAAATTGTTGTTCTATTTCTATACTGATTGTATATATTTATATCCTCATGATATTCCCATTGAATAGCCATTCCTCATTTCTGGGTCGCGCCGCGGTTTTTTGTCCAGGACCGAGAGCTGGCCCTCCAATGAGGAACTGACCTTGGCCCAGGAGGACGAGATCAAGGCCAGTTCCTCATGAGTTAAAGCTTTACTTTAGAAATTGAGTTAATGATTCATATGATTTCATAATATGTCATATGTCATTTTTAAAGAATGGGTTTAATACTGTGCCTCAAAATTTGCTGGATGTTTGGCGATTCTACTGTGTTTCGAGGACCATCTCATTTGTCAAACATACCCATTTGACCCCATTCCAAAGCTGCGGTGGTTGGGAAACCACTAATCACACCAATTGCAGAAACTAACCTGCATGTCCCAGAATTGGTTTCAGGAAAAGTCTGCAGGAAACATCAAGATCTGACCAAAAATGAACTGGTGCGGCCTGACTGGTAAGTGCTGGTAGATTTGGTCAAAAGCCCGGCTTTAATGGTTGCAATCCTTCTGTTGGTTCAATGATATGAGTTTGTCTAAAAAAGGGTATCCCGAACTCCACTGGTGAATCATCAGCTTCCCCATCACATTGCTAGAATTCAGGGCATACCCTATTTTGAGATTAACTGATTAATCCCATATTCGCTATAAATTTGGCACACATGGTTTCACTTTCCCATTTTCGGTGCTAAATCCCAAGCTGCATCACGTGATACTTCCAGCCGGCACCCCAGGCGTTGGTGTCTGGGCCTAGCAAGCAACTGCCCACAGAGCGATCTCGCTGGCGAAGTAAGGATGTGGTGCCTCGGCTGCTGAACAAACCCTTTCCTACCCTTATGAAACTTTGAAACTTTAAATCAAATGGCCATGGTCCAGAAATGTCCAGAAAATCATTGGCCGGACATGGACATGGACGATTTTTTGTGGTTCCATGTTAGTAGAAAACGAAGTGCAACTGGGTCACATTCGGCGCGACTGGCCAGGTGTGTTTGGGAAGTGAGCTGCTTCTGCGCGCCATGTCACAGGGAGATGGTAATGATTGGTTGGAGTTTGTTCACCTCCCCTCCAGGAGAGGGGGGTCCAATGACCCGTGTTTTTCGGAATTCTAATACATTGGACGTTCACGATTTGCAATGATTGTTGGGTAGTGATTTGTATTGAATGCAATTCAGTATGTTCAAATATAATCAAATATATATATATACATACACATGATATCATAATGATAGATATATATATATATATATGTTCCAAGGCTCAGGTGGTTTTTGTTCCCTTTTCGCGGCCGGCGTGGTGAGCCGCAGGAGCGCTCGGCAGCTCCCAGCGAGCAGCGAAGGTATGGATGCCAGTCCAGTGGTGCGCATCTTGCCGTGGCCGAAGCCTAGGCTTTTCCAAGGCTGGGAATCCATGGGTAGATCTGGAGGGCCGAGCAAGGCACATAAAACCTGTGGAAATGATGGGTAATCTTGGGGAAATCCATAGAGATGGCACAAACCATCGATGGTTTCTTCCGCTTGTTTTACCATATCCCCACTATTTGTGTCCTTTGGCACCTCGTGGCATTCTCCATGAAGGATTTTGTTTGGGCACCATCAGGCCGAATCCCCAGATAGTATGATTCATATTTCATTTCTTATGTCATTGATGAGCCATAGATTATAATCATAGATATCCATAGATTATCTAACCATCTGTAATGGATGATGACACATTATGATATTTATAAAAATGTCCGTTACCTATGGAAGGGATGATTTGGGGGGTACCCCATGGATTGGAAATCCCCTTACCAGGCGACGAGGGTCGAGACGCCGGCGTCGGTCACCGTGGAAGTTGCGTGGTGGTCTTTGAGAGCGGCCACCTGCGGTGGATGGAGGTGCTGAAAATCGGAGGAGATCTCAATGTGAATGGCAAATTCCCTGGGTTTTCTGAAATCAAAGATTGGGATGTTGCTGCCAAATCTGTGAAGTTGATGATCAATGATATACAGTAGTTCACTTGATGTTATCCAAAGGTTTGAAGATCTTTGAGTCAAACCCATTATATCATGGTAAACCCATGAGTCTTTCGATAACCCATGAGAAAATGGGTTCAAAGTTCTCCCATAATAAGCCATCTAAAGCCCATCTTTTTTCACCGGCCTTCGTTCTCCCAGTTCTTCCTGGAGGCGCATCCCAAGAGCTTGGCACAGAGTTTGCGGGATCACTTCCAACGTCAAGGTCTGCGAGGCGTCATGGAGGCGGGATGCGATGATCAATGGCTGTTTAGGGGAAGTTTTCTGCTTGAAATCCTGGTTTTTCACCAATTTTGATATTTTTGATGGGTTCCCTACATGTTTTTCTTTCAACCAAGTCTAGGAAATGACTTGGGGACATCCTCAAGTCCCTTCTCCCCAGGAGGAGTTGCCAGCTGAAGATATGGAGCAGGAAGAATTGGAAGACTTGGAAGATATGGAGTTGGAGGAGCTGGATGAGTTGGAAGAAATGGATCCTTGGCAGTTTTTTGAGAGATGTTCAGCTGCTTGGTTCGAGAGTCCTTCGGAATCCTTCGGACGCTTTCTGAGTTGGGATGGCAAGTTTAGGGGGGAAGGGTTTTAAAAAATGTGAGGATGCTCGAATTTCAGAGAGAGAAAGAGAGAGAGAGAGAGCTATCTGTGCCATGGTCAAAAAGACAGATTTATTTATTTATTTATTTATATATATATATTTGTATATACCCATATTTGGTGGGTTTCCATGGATTTCCCATTAGTCCAGGATTTCCCATGGGGATGATGTAAAAACACCTCAGGAGCTGGCTGAGGATGAAGGCGCTGGGGCCCAGGGATGGCCCTGGGATTCAGATGGTGTCGATTTTCCTTGGCTATTTGGGACGATTGAGCCAATTGCCTTGCACGTTTGGGAAAGGGTTGAAACCAGAAATTAGGACTAGGAATTCACTTGAAGGCGCCAAATTGATGGATGAACAAGGACCCCCAGTTTTGAAAAAGCACCTTTCAAGAAAGATTGAAAAGGCACAAGAGATTCAGCAGATGCAACTGCTGACGTAACTACCAGGAATCCAAACTTGACAGGGAAGCTGCTCCTCAGAATTCAAAGGGGAGCGCACCGTTTTACATGTGTATACACATGCAGACTACACAAACGACACACAGAAAGAGCACGGCAGCGTAGGCACAACCACTACAATCCTTTGCATTTGCATGCAACCGACACAATGGTGTCTGTGTGCCAACGCCTTGGCAGCCATAGCAGCGTGGCAGGTGGCCCAGTGGACCATGACCCTGCGGAGGGTCCAGGGGGGCAAGCTGGTCAAGCAGGTAGAGCTTCTGCACGCAGGTGCAAGGAGTGGTGCAGGATGAAATTGAAGCAACAAGAAATGGATACTCCAAAGTGATACAATCAACAAGTCTTTGGATGTAATCAAGAATACTTGCGCTACAAGCTGCTATAGAACTATTTGCCTTTTTTCCAAGATGTTTCCTTTTACACCTTGCGACAAGGCGTGGAGGCCGCCCCACCGCGGGGCAACCCATGGCACGCCCCGGTGGCCGCGCAACCGGTGGACCATCTTCCAGCAGCCGCCCAGCCGCTGGTCGCGCCGCTGCCGGAACGCCGGGGAAAGAAGCAGCACCGCCGGAGGCGACGCGGACGGAAGGGGTGGAGGGAAGCCGGCCGGGGGCGGGGGGGAAAAAAGCGGTTTGGGAGGAAGCGGTTTTTTTGCGGAGCCATGCATAGCTCGCTGCAAGCTCAGAAGATGAGGCGGGGGAGGAGGGAGGACGATACATGTTTGTACCACTTTAATGCCTTTCTTTATATGGGTATGGCATGCGCCGCCGAGTACCCAAGCCATTTCATTCTTGGGAGTACCTCAAACAACTTTAGCCGTATTTTGTTGGTATTTGCTCAGCCTGGCCCAGGGAATTTGTCCGGTGGTGGACGAGAAGAGATGGGGCCAAGATGGGAAGTCGCCCAAGGCGCCATTGTGTGGCTGTGGATGTGGATAAAGCAGCTACTGGGTGCAGATGGAGAAAGCATGGTATACCTGTACAAGATGAAATTGCCCTACTTGACTTATAATGTTGAGACCAATGAAACCATCAACGAGTGTCGATGCACACATCCCCTTCACCATGATGGATGGGTCAAGCTGTCGTGGGTGCCCACGGAGCTTCCAATAACGATCCATCAGCTAAGAGTTTCACAACAAGTTGATGAGGATCCATTTACTGTATAATATTTATAGGTGATCCTTCCGTTACTCTAAATCCTCCATTTTCCTGGGATTTCATGGGATTTCCCCTTGCCGTGGTTCAATGAACATCTGGATTTGACAAACCAGTTTCCTGCATCGCTCTCGAGCATTAGAACTGATCCACCAACTGTCAGAGTTGAGCCCGGCTCGAGGAGGTGTCTAGTCCCAAACATGGCGAGGAAGACGACAAGGAGCACATCGGAGGCGCCTCTGATCCCTGTGGTCCCTGTGGTCCCTGTGGATGTCTTAACCCAAAACTTTCAAAATCTGGTTGGTTTTCTCGTTGGTTCCCTTTATTGAACCCCTTTTGGAGGTGTCCTGATTTTAGGGGGTACCCCCACGCCCCACATCATCCATTTTCTACAGGCAACCGCTGGGCCGGTGGCACTGGTGGTGCTGACACCGCTGGACTGGGCGGACGTGGCGGGCCTTATCGTGCTTTGGAGCAGGAACGGTAAGGATGGACGGACAGGAATCCAATTATTGCGATGTGGGGGGTTCCTAAAATGTGGCTCCCCCCAAATCATCCAACATGTATAGACTATTTTAGTATTGAAACCTGTATAGCTATCCAAGAAAAACCGATGTTGTGGGTATACGATTACTGTATCTGATAAAACTAGTTTCCAAGACCAGTCCCGGTAAGTGATGATAGATGCTATAGCAAACCAGCCACTCGATTTTTCCCAAAAAGGACATTGTTGGGTGAGCACGAAGGGATCCAATCAATGGGACATGATACATGATTTGGTGGTTTTCGGTTGTAATTTAAGGATGTGTGGAAACCACCAAATGGATCAAATGGGCTATGATATTATGAACATTTATGAACAAGATCAAGGCTATCACCTAATCAAGCAAGCATATAAAATGATATAAAATACTATAAAATGATATAACTCCATCAAGTTTTAGAGTGATTGTTTTCTGTAAAGATTGTTAAGCCCTGTTAATCCCTGTTTGTGGAATGCTTTTGAGCTTGACCAACGTTGCGGGTTTTAAGCCATCCCAGAAGGTGTTCCAACCACGAAGCCGGCGCAAGCCCCGCCGAGGTTTGGAAAAGCCTGGGCAGCGAGTCCGACAAGTCAGCGACGAGGCGACGTCAATTGACCATGGGTTAGTCACGGTTAGTCCTACTATGGGATGACACCATTAGCCTACCCATGGTATGATATTAGGTCAATTATATTCAATTATTACCATACTAAATCATACTATTACTATGAGGTTCTATATCAAGATCATGTCTGCTAATGTATAGATATGGACAATGATTATGGATGGTCGAGTACCAAAAACGGCAGACATCTTGTCATTTGGGTCCTCAACGGATCCACATGGCCAGTATGCATAGATAGCATCGCATTGCGGGTACTCATAGAGCCTAAGAATACAACGAACATATTAAGCAACAAACTGGGGACACTACGAACGTATCAGTACTGCCTGGTGGTTAAACACCAGCCCTGAAATCCTCAACTGCAAGTCCAGATTCGAAGTCACCAGCTAGCTGCTGATGGAATTGGAATAGTTATTGATGGTTGTTGCCGGCGGTGCTTGCTGGTGTTTTAGTTTCAAAGTCTTTTGTGACTTTTTGATGAGAAATAAGTGTGGCATCGGTGATGGATTGGGCCATTCCCTAAATGGATTCCCTGATCTGGTTAACATAGCAATGGAAAACCCACCATTCTTGAAAGGTAAATCATCATAGATCATCCATGGAAAATCCCAAAAATCAATGGAGGTTTTAATGGGAAAATCATCCATGAATGGGCCATTTTCCATAGCTATGCTAAACAACCAGAGGGTAGACGAGGGGTATCCCCATGATTTGTCCGCCCAGTGGGGCCCGGCGGCAAGGCGAAGAAACAAGTGGATGCAGAGGCTCAAGCAGCAGCCCGGCAGTTGGGACAGGAAGCCCTGCGAAGGCGCTTGGAGGACGGGCGTACCCGTTGATGGCTTCTTGAACTGAAAATAAATGGGAAATCCATGCTGATCAAGTGGGAAAAAAGATGTTGGGCCCCATTTTTTGCAGAAAGCCGAAAGCCAAATAGTATCAAATAGCTAACTTCGATAGAACTGGGAAGAATGGAGATAAGGTAAGTCATGGGAATGGATACGTAAATATAAAACCAATGTGTATTGTTTGAAATAGCTTGTTATCAGCGGTACTGGTGATGTTTGCGACTTGAGGGCTTTGAAGCTTGAGAGAAGCTACAGGTTCATCAAACTCTCTTGTAGCACCTATGTGCGAAGACCAGGGATCTGGATGAACAACTCATCTTTGATTCCTCTAAATGTCGAATGATATCGAAGATGTCCTAAACTGGGTGGATCTTTCTAGATGAATTACCCTCTGATAAACTAACATAGCTGTTGAAAATCACCATTTTTAGTGGGTAAATCAACTATAAATGGCCATTTTCAATAGCTATGTTAAATTACCAGAGGATATCCAGCAGGCTACAAGCAAGGCCTGTTCTGCCCAGGAGATCCATTTGAGCGGAGGGGATTACAACTTCTACAGCAACTTGTTGTCGTCCGTGCAGGGCGAGGCGCCATCAAACCTGGATCAATAAACCCTGGTTGACTAGTTTGGGGGTAGCCCTCAAAATTGAGATCATGTGCTAAAACTGTACAGTAAAAAGGCTACCACCATGTACCACCCAAGTTAAACCGCCTCGGTCCAAGGTGGCTAGTGGCTACAGTAGGAGATGATTTAAGAGTGCTTTGTTGGGGTCCAAGGTCGTAGCCAAGTGACTGTGTTGATAAGTTGTCTGTGGTCTCATGACCAATTTCACTGAACGGGCCTGGCCGCCTGGCTACTTTTTTTCATGCCCGAAAGTTTAAAGTGAAAGCCAGCCACATCACCCATGCTTAGTGTGCAACATTTTGCAACTAACCAGTGTAGTCTTGTGTATAGCTACAAAAGTCACTCATAAGCTGCCTCGATGAGAAAAACATTGCACTTGTGCATGGATCTGTTTGTGCAGAGTTTTTTTTTATACTACCCATGTGTAGATGTACCCAGAAGACACATGGCCATCTTTCCATTGCGTAAGACACTGCGGGTCGCCAGAGGATCACCGAAATCTCCAACTTCCGGGGGAATCCCCTGGCGACACCATCCCCCCGCTGTTGGGAACGCCGCCGGGGCACAGATCGAGCGTCTTCGAGCCGTTCTTTCGGGTGCAGCAGCACGACAACTGGAACGTTTTTCGTGCGCAACGGGGAAGTGATGGGAGCTGGGTGTTGAGCAAAATGACCAACAAAAGTGGACCCTCTGGGAATGAAATTCCCAGTGTGCTATTGAAAATACCCCATAGAAATGGTTGATTTACCTATTCGAAATATTTCGAAATGGTGATTTTCTATGGTTCTGTTAGTTTACCAGAGGGTTATGGATTTATAATATCCAACCATGATGGATATATCATGGGGATATAAAAGGGACACAACCGATGCAAAAAAGGTTTGAGAAAAATGACAACACAGGTGAGGATCTAAGTAAGAACATGGGATCTGCCAATGGCCCACGAATGGCTGTTGCCAGTATGGATGGCTAATGATTTTGAAACCGATTGTCCAATTTCTTCATCTCCTACTGAATGTGTAAGACTAGGTCACTAGGTCTTTGACTTCTTCATTTCTGCAAAGGACATTTTGCCTGCAGAATGGAAAGTGTAGAGAAGGTTTCTGAAACGTGGTTGCCCCGCGGCACATGATTCCCCATGATTCCCCCCCATCCTTTCAAAGATATGAAACATTTACCGCACGTCATTTTCCGAAGCCCACGGCTTTCCATAGCTACCTTAGTTTACTGGAGCGTATCCATTCTTCACCCAACTGTCCAATTATCATCAACTATCCAAATTGTCCAAGTTATATTCAAAAGATCATGTTAGAAGTCTTAAGACAGAATCCTGGTTTACCAGTGAATGATCATGTTCCCGACATAGTTTCTTGCTTACTTTCCCCCAGTTCTTGATGTTTTTAAAGGCTGTGAAGCCCTCCCCAATTGCCCCGGTCGCCCAGGTCATTGGCGCCGTGGTCAGGAAGGCGAGCTGGACGAGACGAGGTTGGTGGACGCCTTGGCAGGCGAAGCCAATGTCTTCAGGTGCGGCTTGGGTGCCATGATCCTCCGGTTCCAGGTTCCTCGCTGGAATATACAGAATGTGTGTGTATATATTATTTTATACAATCATATAAGTATAAATATAAATTTAAATATATATATTTATTTATTTATTTATTATTATATATAATTATAAACAAGTATATATTATATATGTGTGTGTGTTTATTATACATGTATATATATATATATACGGCAAATGCCTGGGTTTTGCCCGGACACGCAATGACGACGGGCGACGCATCATCATCATCATCATCATCATCAAACCCTTATTGAAGATCTTCAATGAATGTAGAAGTTTAACGGGGGTGGGAGAATTAAACCCTTATCGAAGATCTTCAATTAATGTAGAAGTTTAACGGGGGTGGGAGAATTAAACCCTTATCGAAGATCTTCAATGAATGTAGAAGTTTAACGGGGGGGTGGGAGAATTAAACCCTTATTGAAGATCTTCAATGAATGTAGAAGTTTAACGGGGGTGGGAGAATTAAACCCTTATCGAAGATCTTCAATGAATGTAGAAGTTTAACGGGGGTGGGAGAATTAAACCCTTATTGAGATCTTCAATGAATGTAGAAGTTTAACGGGGGTGGGAGAATTAAACCCTTATTGAAGATCTTCAATGAATGTAGAAGTTTAACGGGGGTGGGAGAATTAAACCCTTATTGAAGATCTTCAATGAATGTAGAAGTTTAACGGGGGTGGGAGAATTAAACCCTTATTGAAGATCTTCAATGAATGTAGAAGTTTAACGGGGGTGGGAGAATTAAACCCTTATTGAAGATCTTCAATGAATGTAGAAGTTTAACGGGGGTGGGAGAATTAAACCCTTATTGAAGATCTTCAATGAATGTAGAAGTTTAACGGGGGTGGGAGAATTAAACCCTTATTGAAGATCTTCAATGAATGTAGAAGTTTAACGGGGGTGGGAGAATTAAACCCTTATTGAAGATCTTCAATGAATGTAGAAGTTTAACGGGGGTGGGAGAATTAAACCCTTATTGAAGATCTTCAATGAATGTAGAAGTTTAACGGGGGTGGGAGAATTAAACCCTTATTGAAGATCTTCAATGAATGTAGAAGTTTAACGGGGGTGGGAGTTTAATATTCCCTAATATCTTTGTTGATCTTCCCACTTGAATGTAAAGTTTAACGGGGGTGGGAGTTTAATATTCCCTAATACCGTTTTCGTTTTTGTTTTTCCCATAGGAATTTCGGGTGTTTTGACATTTTTTTTATATAGTCCCTAGTACCTCTGTTGTTTTCCCCATAGGAATTTAAGGTTTAACGGGGGTGGGAGTTTAATATTCCCTAATATCTTTGTTGATCTAATTGAATGTTAAGTTTCACGATTTGAGAGTTTAAAATTTCCTAGTACCTTTGTTGTTTTTCCCATAGGAATTTCAAATGTTATGCCGTTTTTGTTTTTCCCATACGAATTTTGGGTGTTTTGACCTTGTTTGTTTAATAGTCCCTAGTACCTTTGTTATTTTCCCCATAGGAATTACGGTAATTTGCAACATCATTGTCATTTGTTTGTGAATGGGAAACCTCTACGCTGCAACGCCTGGGCAAAACCCAGGCGTTGCGCGTATATATATATATATACACAGATATGAATCTATATATGTATATACTTTGAATTCTTGGAAATCTTAGAAAAGAAAAGTCCTGGAACGTCACTTTCCAAAGTATCGTCAAGTTTCATCTCGAAATTCCAGCAGTTTAGTCTACCCAAAAAGGTTTGTGTGAAAACGAGAAATACCCCTTAAATCGATTGATGAATCATAGATTCCCACATTCAAGTGGCCATTTGGGGTTATATCCCATTTTCGGACACACCAAGAAATTATATCGTGAATTTGATCTACCATTATATCCCATCCATGTGGCAAACCCAATAATTTTTACCATCCCCAAAATCGACATAAATGGGTGGTAGAGGGCCATCCCCGAATGATGGGTTTATTGGGTTTACCACATTACATCCTATCCGCATGAAATATTGGCCAATACAATGGTATGGGGATTAATGTACCAATGTACATCAATGTACCATAAAAATATCAATACATTGCCACATTACATCCTATCCCCATTGTACCATATTGTACTGTTGGTTCAACGGCTGCTGGCCCTTGTAGGCGGCGCAAGGAACGCGAGCCGCGCCCGGGGGAGCCGCCCATGCGACCGAAGCGAGCACTCTTCCTCTTCGACGCATCAGCGTGGCCCGATTCGGTACGGGCTGAGCGGTTGGAGCTGGGACATGACTAAGATAGAAACGGAAGTTTTCTGAAACAGGGTATCCCCAAGTCACCATGGATTAACCTATACTAAGTCATGGTCATTCATGACTTGGATGATTTGGGGGTACCCCCGTGACATCCCATGACTTTGGATACCTCCAAATATTTGGGTGTAAACCTGGGTTGAGTGGGTGGGTCAATCGTTTATGTGTATTTCTAACCAGTTTCAAAGTTTCAAAGAGATTTTTTGGGTGTCTAGCCATGATGTTAGTTAGATTTGGGAGAAGTCGTCATGAAATATGGGTGTTGCCATGATGCGATACGCAGGGAAGTAATACTAGACATCACATAAATGTTTCTCACAATGGGAGACACCCCTCACAATGGGATTTCTGAGTGAAAATGATTCTGTTTGGTGCCCTCCCACTTTCAGAAATCCCCATATCTCAGTCCACTATCAGTCAAACACTGGGATATTTGGACAATCCACATTTTTTTGTAGTCATACTAATGTAATTTTACTGTAATTTTGGTGGTTTGGGATCCAGAAATCCTTAAAATCCACCAGCTGACCATAAATACACATTAAATTCCCATTGAATTCCAATTTTTAGGTTTTTCTATGGCATTTCTGGACAAACAGTGGGCCCTTGACATCATCTCCGCCCTCAGGTCCATGTATCGCTTCAATGGATCCGACGGGCGACTCCGACGCACGTGCGAAACTGCATCTTGGCAGTTGGAGGGTGTGGGCGTGTTGGAAAAAAATAAGATTTACAAAAACTAGAACTGATTTCAAAAAGAACATGTACAATAAATTGTCTAACATTGAAAAAGATGCAACGGAAAAATTAGGTTGATTTTGATATGATGAGTTTCGTTTTTTTCACCATCAAAAATGTTGCTAAAGCTAGTGGCATGGAAAGTCATCTCAATCATCAAATTTGAGGGTATGCAATTTTCTGACAAACCCAGCTGTGGCTAAAAAGAATTGAACCCCATTGAACCCAAAAATGAACCGTACCTTGTTGTCAAGTGTTTTGTCAGGTAGGACCTTCTCTGGGAACAGAATATGTTTCAAGCATTTTCAAGCTGTGAATACTGCCAGCATTTTGCAGCAGAATTTCAATTTCTCCTACACACTTTGAAAATCTAACATTGTACATTGAGATCCAGACCAAAGACCAAACGAACAGCACTCAAACTGCACAGAAGTCCATGATTCCCTGCTTTGACCCCCAAAAAAAAGGTGCTTTTGGAGCCATTCTGCCTAGGCCGTGATGATCATGGAAGCCCTTCAAGGCGGAGATGGATCCCTCGGTTTGGGACCATCTGTAGGTGCAAAGAATTGAGACCCTCCAAAGCTGGAACCTGCTGTCATTTTGGGGGTTGTCAACGGACCGGAATTTGAGTCACAATGCTGAAAAAGGCTTACTTTCGTTTGACTTTATCCAACCAATACCTCAACCGATACCATCCATGTTGATAACTATCTCCCCCATGTTTGTGACATCTGGACCATTCATCCCATGGTCCCACCATCACTAGACACGGTCGTCAGCTGACACCAGGTCTAGAGGCGCGGTTCGATTATGCGGTTTATTGCCACGATGGAGACAGCCCTTTGCAGGACCTCGCGCCGTCCAATTTCAATGTGAGAGTGGTGACCGCATGGGTTCGTCCGGATTTTCCACCCTTGCAGAACAACAATGGCTAGAAAGGTACACTATATTCATCTATATTCAAGCATGATTTGGGTTGCAATGGATCCACAGTTCTATGCCCCAGTGACTTTGGGACAGCAACGCCACAGGAATTGGTGCCCTTCGGCCAGCCGCCTATGGATGAACGCGGAAGACTGACCGTGGTGCGCCAGATGAAGGGCCTGGCGGAACATGGCAATGACGGGCCTCGCAATGAAGATTATTAAAGGGAATCCAACGGACACCTTGATTGTAATATCATATTTCCACATGTGTTGATATGTGCTGGTGATATTATTATATATTATTATATTGTTTTTTGTTGGTTCAGCCGTTAAGCCCATTACTTCTGTTTGTCTTTTGGTAAACCTGGTTTGGTTCATTAACATTCCTGATTTGGACATGTTTGAAAATAGGGTGCCCCAAACCTGATTGTCAGTTTTGCTCTATGTGCAGATTATCCCTTTATAAATATATATATATATACCCAACCCATATGATACTCTTGGTGTGTGTAGACTATATCCCATTAATTCCCATTTTATACCTATGGGATATCTCCCTTTTAAAATGATTCAGGACGACCCAGCGTTTCATGTTCTGAAATCGCCAGGTGTCCAAGTTGGTGGCCAGCGCTCAGTGACCCGAAACCAAACGGCGGTTTACGGCGGTTTCCGGGACCAGGCGAGGTGGTGCAGAAAAATGGTGAAGTTTGAGAGGCAAAAACCATGATACCCTCTGGTAAACTAACATAGCTATTGAAAATGCCCCATTTATAGTGGATTTTCCCATTGAAAATGGTGATTTTCCATAGCTATGTTAAATTACCAGAGGGTAACTAATTTCGGTGACCGATTTTTCGACAAACTTTGTAGATGATTGGAGAACCGAAAAATCATCTATGTTTGTATGCTATGAGGATATGAGAAAAAAAATAATGTTGAGAGATGACCGTAAAAACTGGAGTTTGGGACATCTTTTGGGTGCCGGAAGGATTTTATTGGTCTTGGAATTAGCGTAGGGATAGAAACCGACTGAGTGGTTTTTGGCAACAGTCGACATACTTGGATCATCTCATAGCAATTCAAAATCATTTGAAGATTATTTGTGAGATAGGCAGAACAGGGGCAGAAAATGAGGGGACATCACCCTACCAAAAATGTGGGTTTCGGGCTCCGAAACTGTGTCTTTATTTCGGAAGAGGCCCGAGCTTTTGCAGAGGGAAACCATGTGGGCACACCTTGGTTTGATGGTACTTAAAGGACCCCAAAATCTTACCGAAATATATAGTGATGAATTGCGGTTCTATCTCTTTGAGTGTTTGTATATAGCTATTTATAGCTGTATATAGCTATATATAGCTATATCAATCTACATATTGATTTCTAGCATGGCATATCCCACGAACACTCACATTGTTGTGAAATATGCAGGTTTCCTTCAACAGTACAGGTACTGCAGCTCTGGTGACAACACCGTAGAAGCGATCGAGCAAGCGAGACAAAAGGCCCGCGGTGTCCACAGAATCCCCTTGGGGGTTCTAATAGGAACCATGTGGTGGTCACGAACGTGAGGATAAAATTCTAATAAGGAGCCCATTTGGTATGCCAGATAGACAGTGATAGTAGATGAATTCTGACCATTGAAACTACTCACACAGTAATTTGTCCAGGGCGGATCGTGGCATTTATGTGAGAACGGTTGGGTAGCTGATTCAGAATATTGGAATCTAATGTATTTGATGCGGTTGAAACCAATATCTGAACAGCCAGCCTGCTTTATCAACAGGTCATGAGTCAGTTTACCAGCAGGGTAATGAGAATGGGACTGTGTTTAATAGGTAGATAAGTTGGACACTGAGAAATTATAGGGTAAGCATCATCTGCAAAATCTGGGAAGAACATGTAGATTTTTTCGGGTAGCCCTATGAGGTTTTAGAGTCTAAATGGCCGAATCATCACATTCATGCTTCAATGTAGGTCAAAATGACATGAGATAGTCAGACACTGTTGAGAATTTGGCTGGCTATAGGTTGGTGAACCTCATCCTCGAGAATGAGACTGTCACCGAAGTGTGGGCACGACCGTCGAAGCAGAAACAGGTTCACAAGCTGAAAACAACCTGCAAAGCACGATTTGACCAACAAGAGGGCGAAGAAGTCAGACAAGAAGGCCCCAGGTGTGCAGAAAAAGCCAGCTGCTCAATGCAGCAGTAAATACAACGGCGTGTCCGACACAATCTGCGCTGTGAGGAGAATGGCGAAACTGCAGGCTTTGACTGAAGACCAGGTGTACCAAAGATTGGATTGTTTAGTGACAATGGCAACTGCGAAATACGCCAGTCCCACCCCGTGGGTCAAACCAGTTAACGCATCTCACCAATTTCGATTTGAGACACTGCCTGTGTATATTGTAATATTGGGTTTGCCACATTGATCAATACAAAGAAACACACAATCATTACATGTTCTAGCCTTTTTTGGGGAACCTGATTTCATCCCCTTTCGGCAATCCCCATGTTTGCTGGTGAAGATACCATCCATTTCTGTTTGGTTTCTGGAGGTTCTGGTTATTGTACCCGATCCGTGTTGTTTAAAATTCTCCCCAGTTGGGTTTGTTGTATTCAACGAACGGGATCGCTGTCATTATGTACAACTAAATGTTGTAGCCTTTATATTCTTATGATTCTAATGATGGTGATCCGATGTTGTATAATCCATCTACACTTTCTTTGAATTTCTTTGATGTAATGTTTGTTGCTTATCTCCCAGAACTGATTTAAGGGGAAGTCTGCAGGAAACCCAATCAATTTGGAAATAAAAACCAGTCAGTTTGCTTTAGATTTTCTCTTCTACTAATCCATTCAAATCCATTTGGATCCGTTTAAATCTACAAATCATCCATTATTCCTCCATGAAATCCCCAAGGAAATCCCCACCAAAAAATCTCCATGTTTCCTTGGTGAAATGAAAAATGGGGCGTTTTCTCCAGGTCATGGAGGCGGGTCCCGCGGATGATCGCTTCGTCTTCGCCTTCTCGGACGCCAACTTCGAACGCTACGGCATCACGGGGCAGGCAGTGACGGGGACAAAGACGCTGATGTTCTAAAGAAAGTAGGATGTTTCACCAGCAAAATGTGGGAGTAGATGGGAATGAGTGGGATTTTTGACGGAAGATCATGGGATACAACTGTATAAGCAACTTGAAATGATTGTTTGGGTTAGGTACCTGAAAATGTTTTTTAAACATATTTTAACCCAAGTGATGGCCATTCTTTTAGGAAAAATGATCAGACAAACCCCCATAATAGGCTGGCTGGAAAAGGGGGAAAATGGTGGAGTTTATATAAAGAAAGATACTGGTGTGGGGTGAAGCCCCCTGGAAGCTCTGGAAGCTGAAAGGTCGGGTGCAAACATGGCAACAAATTAGGAAGATGTGTTTGCTTTTCACTTCCAAAATTGGGAGATACTGGGTTTGAATTCCAGCATCAAGAGCTGACAAGTATTGAAAAGTAGAGTGCAAAGATGACTTGCGGAAGGATAAATGTGCAGTTTGGAGTTCAACAACAATTCAAGGCTTTATAGCATCATCCACATATCGGTTTGTTTGAAAATAGCGTACCTCCGAATCCACTGGTCAATCATCATTTTCCCATATTTCTTTATATATATATTTCTCCCATTGACATGGCTATTTGGAGGGTATACCTTATATATATTCTGACATTATATCCTGACACAGCATGACACAGCCATACTCTTTTTCATCCTGGGCTTGGCGCCATAGCACTCCTCCGGATAGGCCTTGTCCAAAGCCTTGGGCGACAACTCGGGTCGAGATGAGGCCACCGTGAAACCGTGAGGGGAACCTGTATGTATGTAATGTAATGTTATGTTATGTTATGTTATGTTATGTAATGTATGTAATGTATGTTAAGTATGTTATGTGTGTTATGTATGTTTTGTATGTAATGTAATGTAATGTAATGTAATGTAACGTAATGTAATGTAATGTAATGTACGTATGTAATTAATATATGTATGTAATTAATGTATGTATGTAATTAATGTATGTATGTAATTCAAGTATGTATGTAATTCATGTATGTATGTAATTAATGTTTGTATGTAATTCATGTATGTATGTAATTAATGTATGTATGTAAATAATGTATGTATGTAATTAATGTATGTTATGTATGCATGTATGTGTGTAATTAATGTATGTTATGTATGATTATGTATGCATGTATGTATGTAATTAATGTTTGTATGTAATTAAAGTATGTATGTAATTAATGTATGTATGTAATTAATGTATGTATGTAATTAATGTATGTTATGTATGCATGTATGTTATGTATGCATGCATGTATGTATGTATGTAATTAATGTATGTATGTAATTAATGTATGTATGTAATTAATGTATGTTTGTAATTAATGTATGTATGGTAACCGACAGAATTATGGAGAAAAAAAAACGTTCAACTTAGACAGGCGGCGCCTGCGTCCGATTTTTCCATAATTGGGTTTTACCCCATAAGGGTTCAAAATATCCCGGAAGTGATCCGAACTTTTTTTTCCATAATTCTTGGAGGTTGCCATTATTTCCATAATTGATTTTTCCTGTAAAATCAGGGGGCTAGGGCAGATTGACCGGTTTTTCCATAATTATTTTTTCCATATTTTTTTTTCCATAATTATTTTTTCCATAATTAATGTTTGGGGCTCCACCTGTTGGACATGTCATGAATCCACAATTCAAACCCCTTTTTTTGGGGGGTTATGGAAATATGTATGCAAATGCAAGTATGTAGTATCAACCCAATTGGTGGCTTTAGGGGCATATACCAGATCTTTAGACACATATTTTCTACAATTCAATATTCCCCCTTAAAATGCATTCAAATTGCGAACATCACATGATATTATGTATATCAATGGAAGACTTAGGGGCATATACCAGATCTTTAGACACATATTTTCTATAATTCAATATTCCCCCTTAAAATGCATTCAAATTGCGAATCGATGGACATACAGTCACCGACAGAATTATGGAAAAAAAGATAATTATGGAAAAAATAATTATGGAAAAAAAAAGGTTCGTAACTTTTCTATCATAGACAGGCGGCGCCTGTAAATTGAAACGTTTTTTTTCCATAATTCTGGCGGGTGATGTATGTAATTAATGTATGTATGTATGTATGTACGTACGTACGTATGTATGTATGTATGTATGTATGTTATGTATGCATGCATGTATGTATGTAATTAATGTATGTATGTATGTAATTAATGTATGTTATGTATGTTATGTATGTTATGTATGTTATGTATGGTATGTATGGTATGCATGTTATGTATGTTATGTATGTTATGTATGGTACGTATGGTATGTATAGTTTGTATGTTATGTATGTTATGTATGGTATGTATGGTATGTATGGTATGTATGTTATGTATGTTTTGTATGGTATGTATGGTATGTATGTAATGTATGTCATGGATGTAATGGATGTAATGTATGTCATGGATGTAATGGATGTAATGTATGTTATGTGTGTTATGTATGTTATGTATGTTATGTATGTTATGTATGTAATGGATGTAATGTATGTAATGTATGTAATGTATGTTAAGTATGTTATGTGTGTTATGTATGTTTTGTATGTAATGTAATGTAATGTAATGTATGTATGTATATCTGGTTTGTATATATATATGGTATGTATATATATATGTTGTATATATATATGGCATGTATGTATATTTTTATGGTATATATATTTAGTATATATTTGTTTCTTTGCTTGGAACTTGTGGAGAGCAAGTAATGTGTTGACGATATAGTTGCCAAAATGGCTATGCCATTTTGGCTCAAGCTGTTCCCCCTGCGATCCAATACTTTCGAAAAACACGTTCCGATCTTCTTGTTTTGCCCATGGCGGCTTCTAGTCCAGTGGCTAGTGAGACTGGCACCGTGGGCTCCTTCTCGCTGATTGGGACAGATTTGGACGCAGGGGACGATTACATGGTGCTTTCCACCCAGGTGACCGAGGCTGCGCCGGCCAAGGTTACGACAGAGTTCGAAGATGATCCCGCCATCACCAAGGAGACACTGGCTTCGCAGCTCCATGAGATGGAGAAAGTGATGGAAAACTTGGGCCTGGAACCCAAGCCGGAGACAAGTGTGGAAGCGTCAAGTGGGAAACCTCCGTCGGGTTTCGTCCATGCAGAGGCACAGACTCCGACCCAGACACTACAGGTCTTAGAGAAGGAGACGTTGACGCTCCACATGGATCCGACCACAGAGACCTTCACCATCGAAGGCTGGGCACCCTTGATTCCGGCCCTGCCTCACTCTGCTGCCAAGTACTTCAGAGACATTACGCATGATGAGTTGCGTTCCCTTTTGGACGCTTTCCGCAGTTCTCCGTGGACGGCATCCTTGGTGGTCAAGATCGCAGAGGTGTACCACATCTCGAAGCGCGAGGCTGTCCACACACAGATGTTGAAACTCCGGCACACCACGCAGCGTGGGGGATCCATGGTGAATTTGAAAGAGAAGGACCCTGGGACTTCTCCGCAATTAGTTTGGTCTGATTGCAATGCACCGTGGGGGCAGTTATCCAAATGTTTGCTTTGTCAAGGCTCTCAGCCTGTTGACCTGTCAATGACACCTTTGTCAGTGATTGAGGTGGCCGGCCAGTCCTGGCAACTTAGGCTTACTGAGGCGGGACCGACTTGGGTCCCCACAGATACTAAGGTTACTAAGGCCTCAGGCTTTGTGGAAGTGGGCGATCTTGGCCGACCTCCCCCTGCGGCAGCTTCGGGCGCCGGTATGGGGTTGGTCAGCTTTTCGGAGCAAGTTCCTGCCTCCCAGCGCATGACACTGCAGCAGCACGTGGTGGCCTTCGGGCAGGACGAGATCTTTCATCCAGATGGCGAACGCCCCCCCACTTTGGATGATCGAGACTCTACTCAAACTGCGGTGATCTTTCATCCGAAGACCATTGAACTGATGCGCTTCAAAGTTGACTTGCTGGCAACACCAGAAGAAGAGCTCACAGAAGCGGCACAGGAGGCCAAGAGGAGGAAGAAGGAGATTCAGCATCAGCAAGAGACTGTGGCGATGGACGATGAGCTGCATACACTGACTGCCATCCAGCAGGGTGCACAGGAAACCCAGAATCCGGTCAGTGCCAAGATGCTTCGCCACGCTGACCTCCAGCAGTTTTGGTCCTACCTCAAACGAAAACATGAAGAAAGTGGTCTCACTTCCTCTTATGAGGCTTTGGTGGCAGCACAGACCACACAGGACAAAGCGGCGGCTGCCAACAAGGCCCTGGACACGGAGTTCAGAGACCGCCGCAAGGCCCTCAAGCCCATCGAAGTGGCGTCCTTCTCACTTTGGACCCCAGCTCTGCAAGAGGCGTGGCAGAACAATATCTTCGCGCCGGCCATGGGACCGCAGGGACCTGAACAATTTGACATGGAGGCACTCAAGCAACCCTACCTTCGCATGAAGGAGCTCATCAAGGATAACAAGCCTCCACTCTCCCAGGACCGCCTCATGACGGAGTTCCCTAAAACTCAACTCGACATGTACACCACGGGGACGGAGATGATATCTTCCCAAGAGGCCCAGTTAGCAAGACTCCTCCCGCCTGACAGCCTTGAACGCAAGTACGCAATCCTTGACTCCATCTTGCAGTACCACAAAGGTGAAGTCAGAGCCTGGGGCGGAGAGTGGGAACTGCGACAGGGCCCGCTCACGGCACCTGCCTGGGCGAAACCGGCACCTACGACTGAGGTCTTGGCTTTGGAGCTCAGGACAAACCCGCTGGGCACCTCCTTCTACACGCCCAAAACCTACACAGAACAGGTGGTCCTGCAGCAGATTGCCGATGGCAAGCGACCCGACCTGGACAAGATCATTGGCTTCTTTTGGGCCCCGGGGACGGCGGTAGCTTCTGGCACCGACGATACCCACCTGGTTCGAAGGGTGCAATCATGGGACCTTCCCTCCATGATCACGATGCTTGGACAGTCCTGGACGTTCAAGGAGATCTACCAGGCTTGGTGCGGCATGCCGCTGATCATCAAACCGATGCGCAGAGGGCATGGGGAAGGCATCCGCCAGAAGAAGGTGGCAGAGTTGGCGGCACACCGGCAGAGGACTTCTGAGATCAAGTCCTTCCTCACCAGTGTGGGCCTCCGGTTCCCCAATCACAACATGAGATCAAGCTGCTCTACAAGGAAATTGGCAGCTTTTTGGCTGCTTCGGTTTTCTTAGCCAGAACCCCAGCGGTGGTCTTGGACTTGCCCGAGCAGGACATCCAGGACACAAAGGAGCAGCTCCGTTTTCGAGCGGTGTGTGATGAGCGCATCACCTTGCCTTTGGATGCTTTCAGGCAGCTCCCGGACGTTTTCCAGGCGCTGTCAGCCACTCTGGGGGCCCTCAGCATGGTGCAAGTGCAAGTTGCCTGGCGGTGCAACTGTGAGCTATGGTGGGTTGCCCTGGTTCCCCATGAGAAGGCGGAGAGCTTCTATTGCCGTCTGGGCTACTCCCAGGCAGAGATTGATGGCTTCCTGAAGACTGCACTGGAGCCGGAGGCTCTGCGGGCGACTACGGTAGCTTCGGGCACCGGTAAGTACCCCGAGCTCTCCTTGGAAAATGTGGTCTCCATATGCAGCCCCAAGTACAAGCGGGAGCACTATGGCCACCGTGGAGTCCATGCCTTTTGGGGCCGCACTGATTGCGGGCTCATCCTCAGCAGTATCAGTCCCTGGGAACTGAAGACGAAAGAGGCTGGAGTGACTCGTGGAGGCTGGGTCT